TTTTTAATTTGTCTGATAAAACTTTTTTTATAATCAAAAAACAACGCAAAAATGCTATTTTGTGCAATTTCATGAGGTTTTTGAATTATAAAAAAAGTTTTATCAGACCAATTAAAAAATTCATCCATAGAAAATGTAGAGAAAATAATTGCGGTTTTTTTGAAAAATTAATTTGCAGTTCGGAAGGGACGCCAGAGCAGACCACATAAAATTCAGTCCGGAGTCCGAATTCTATCAGGCAGAATCCATGAAAGTAGATCAGTACGAACACACGATTCCTGCAGTATTACAGCATTTTCAAGGAAGACAGGCATTTATAAGATGTCGTTATTGCAAAATTTCGGATTTGATAGGGTTTGTGAATGAATGGAAAACAGGAAAAGGATTTCAAAGACTGGAATATTTGGAAATTCGAATCAGATCTTTTGATGAAGGTCTTCCCCAAAACGAAATTCTAGACGGAATTGGAGCAAAATATATTGCGCAACGAAATCACCACCAACGCATGTTTTGCCGAAAGTGTAAGTGTACTTGAAAGCAATTTATCTAGCACTCTGAAGAAGCCATCAAAATTCATACGCTAGCCAAATTTTTATCATTATATCACTCACATTTTGTCAGTTGACCACTTTTCGATATCTTTCAAAGGAACTTAGATAAATTGGATCAAATTTGGGGGACTCTTCAAGTGCTGACATCCTGAACGGCCCCCTACAATTTGACCTAATTCATCTGGGTTCCTTTAAAAGATATAAAAAATTTGTTAACTGATAAAATGTTTACCATATTATCAAACATGTTTTATCAATGAACCATTTTTTGATATTTCTTACAAGGACCGAGATAAATTGGCGCTCAGAGGAAGCGTTTGGTAGTTTCGTCAAGTAACCAGTAATTTTCAGTTACCTTGATTATCCCTATTCTAAACCGAATACAGACCGAATCATCAGCCACACATACGTCGTTAGAGAAACAGATGGTCATGTGGCGTCTATTCGGATTTTTGGGGAAACTCTATGGTTTGGAGTATGGAACAAAACAGAGTAGCAGTTTTTGAGAATGATGGATTAGTTTTGTGTATTTTGCATTATTTTTAATTTCTTCATTGTTGTAATAAAGGTTATCATTTTTCTTTTTCTCATTCTTCCAACAAAGAGGTACCTGATGATGTGACAGGTGACACTAGATTAGCACAATGAAGATAGACAGATTGTCACTTTCCCTGGGGGTATTCAGCTATGCGACCTGTTAGCACTTGGACAGCAGGGATACATCAGTTGGCAGAACGAACCTCGACCGCTTGCGCCTTCAGTCTATGTGGACGTCGTCGATTTTGAAACCAGATTTTTACCTAAAATCGGAGGACAAATTTAGGAGGGATCTTCCACCCAGCAAATCTAACAGAAGGCCACCTAAGTTTGAGCTCTTATATTGTGAAGGATCTTCTGTAAAAGATATTAAAAAGCGGTCAACTGATAAAACGTTGCTTGTCTTATGATAAACATTTTGTCAGTTAAACACTTTGTGATATCTTTTACAGGAACCGAGATATATGGGTTCGAACCTAACAGCCATTTAGAGCCGCCGGCGGCAGCCTGCCGCTCAAGCTTCTCTGCGCCCTCCTGCCGGGCGGCTTAACCATACGCAACCCTCAACTTCAGGCCTATTTATCTCGCTTCATCTGAAAGATATCAAAACGTAGATAACTAACAAAATGTTAATAACAATATCAGCAAAATTTTATCAGTTGACCACTTTTTGATATCTTCTACAGAAAGCAAGATATATGAGCTTAAAGTTGGCCTGCCAGGCATTCCCCATCTTCTATTTATCTCTTTCCAAATGACGTCACTGTGACCCTGGCCCAGAAAAAAAGCAGGGTGTTTGGTCTTCCCCCGGACCAACAATGTATTCCAACCTCTCCTCGCATCTGCCCTAACTGTCTGGGTCAGTCATTTTTAACTGTCAACGATCCGTGGGCTGTTCGTTTTTCATTTGAAGTGCCTACCGTTATTTTTGTTCTATTTTTTCGTTCATAATCCCTCTTCTTCTATAATTTCAGAACTTTCAGAATGCCTTCTAACCAATCCAGCTCATCCAACACATTTCCCAATTTTGATCCCTTTTTGACCACTGGAAATGGGAATCAGGAATCGGGAACATCCAGGAGCATTATCCAGGAGTACATCCGAGCTCCATCCTTGCCCGCTGGAACTGGAAGCCGGTATTCTGAAATTGAAGATATCCGGGAACGTTTAAATTCTGCTAGATTTGCAAACCTTTCTCCTCTACAAGTTCAAGCTCTCTAGCAACAATTTGTGGTCAACAGGTACCTGACTTGTGGCGCAGAGAAGCTTGAGCGGCAGGCCGCCGCCGGCGGCTCTAAATGGCTGTTAGGTTCGAACCCATATATCTCGGTTCCTGTAAAAGATATCACAAAGTGGTTAACTGACAAAATGTTTATCATAAGACAAGCAACGTTTTATCAGTTGACCGCTTTTTAATATCTTTTACAGAAGATCCTTCACAATATAAGAGCTCAAACTTAGGTGGCCTTCTGTTAGATTTGCTGGGTGGAAGATCCCTCCTAAATTTGTCCTCCGATTTCAGGTAAAAATCTGGTTTCAAAATCGACGACGTCAACATAGACTGGATGCGCGAGCGGCCAAGGTTCGCTCTGCCAACTGATGTATCCAGTGGTCACCCTTCTCATCATCGTGTAATCGGAAGGAATACTTTTACAAGATCCTGATGCTAAATTCCTTATCTTCGCTGTATCTCTTTGAAATAAGCTCATTAATCTTAAACTTGGTCTTGATGCTAATTTTTTGGTCTTTGCTGTATCTCTTTTGAATCACTAATAAATTATATTGTGATTTGTGTCCCATGTAATTTCCCCAACGGGGAGTAACTGATGACGTGATAGATTTCGCTTGATTAGCATTAGCTGGTCCTGGACCCCTTGTACATTCTGCTACGCGGTCTTACCCCCAGTTTTATGATCGATATGTACATGTCTAACAAGTCTAAACTAAAGCCTCCAACTTTGAGCGTATTCGTCTCATTTCCTGTTAGAGGTATCGAAAAGTGACCAACTGACAAAATATTTGTGATATTACGGTAAACATTTTATCAGTTGGCCACATTTTTGATACCTTTCACAGGAAATGAGATATATGAGCTGGGGACCGTCAAATAGACATTGTTGATTGCTATTTTCCCAAAATCGTGTAGTTTGTGCTCTCATGAATTCTGCTATATGTGGTACGGTCATTTAAAAAGATCTGAAACCCCAAACCCCGACTTTTTTGGTTGTTCTGGACAAGGCTGGAAATTTGTACAAACCTTATAGAAATCTTGGCCAGATTTAAGATTCCCAGTTTGGAAGTATGACCCTACTTCGGCGTCGACGGCTACTTCTGGCCGGAGCTTGGTCAGTTTCCGGCAAAGACTTGGTGGGAAGGCGACCAAGATCCGACAAACTACCGACCAGCTTCCGACCTCTTAACAGCAGGCGCCTGCAAATTCCGGCCAAAATCCGACCATTGTCCGTCCCACTGGGCAGCTTCTGACCAAAACCTGACCAAGATTCGTCCAAAAGCCGAACCCCCCTCCCTCAACTTCCGTCCAGAAATTGCAAGCCTACAGCCGAGTATCCTTTCGTCAGAAACTTTCAGAATCATGATCGCGATAGTTTTGGAAAGAATTACCTTTTACTTGCTTAGAACATGGCTGAACTCTTCAGCTACACAACTTCGGAATTACCAGATCTGGGGAATTCTAAAAGATCCGGATGGTTCTAAAACGTAGTTTTTTCTCTGCAAGTATGTAAGAACATCCTTCAGTGTCCTTCCCAAAGGACCTTCCCACAGGTACAGTACCTGTCCCAAATGACACCTTTTTTTTGTGTGCATTTGACAACGTCTTCTATCTCCCCAGATGTTGTCATTGCGACCTTGACCCAAAAAAAATACAGGGTGTTTGACCACCACCCACTATCCTCGCCCTGGGTGGGCGGAGCTTAGCGCAGGACATTTTGGACCAAAGAGTCGTCCTCCCATCGTCAGTCCTCCCGGTCATTCTGTTTTCTGCTCACGGCCCTCCACTCTTTCTGTTGTTGCTGCTCTATGCGTTTCTGTACGGTCCATACTCTCTCGTGCATGTAAAAATCACGATCATTTGAATTTTGCCGGCCTAGAAATCCAATCTTGTGGTAAGGCCACCAGTAACATGCTTTGAAAGATCGAGTCGTCAGCTCTTTGACACAGTTGATAGATATCAAAGAACCTTATATTGAAGCGAGTTATGGCCATTTGAAGTTGGTGGTCTAGAAATCTAAAACTAGGCCATGAAATTCAAATGGATGTAACTCGCTTCCAAATTAAGATTTTCGAAATATAAAATCTGTCTCGTAGAACTAACGACTTGCGCTTTCGATTCATATAATTGGTGACCTAGTTTTTTCGAAATTTGGGTTTCTAGTCCACCAACTACAAATGGTTGTAACTCCCTTCAAAATGAAAATTTTTGAAATCAAAAAATTGTTTTGAATTGCTCAATTCTCACTCTTCCATACTTTTTTTTTTCATTTTTGATATATGTACCTTCCAATTTCCAGAATGGCTTTCAACCAACCCAGTTCGTCTAACTCGGCTGCGGATACCACTTTCATCGTCTTTGACGAAGACTATGTAAGCGAATTGCGAGCACGGCTTATTGATTCTGGTAAGTTTTTTAAACGAATTCTGCGAATTCGGTATTAAATAACCCTGATTTCAGTGAGTCGTTTCGGCACCATCAACCCTTTGAGCATGATGAGCTTACTTGAAGCTGAACGACAGATAGCTGAATCTAAAAACCAGAGTTCTGAGGCTGGAAGTCACGATTCTGGATCTGGAAGCCTCACTGCTCAACCAGTTCAAGCTCCGGACCAGGATTACTTCTACGACAAGTATTTGACTGCTTCTGTTCGGAAACAAATGGCTAAACGTCTTAACATGACGGACCAAGAGGTATGTAGGTCGAGCGCATATCAGACATTCCAAATGCCTTTTTCAGCTTGAAACCTTTCTCCAGAATCGACGATCAGAGGAAAAGAGGCTGCTAGATCAATTTAAAGATGAAAATAGTTCAAATGGTGAGTCTTCTGAAAAGGAACTTCGTCAACAATTGGGTGCTCTGCGGGAGAAGTTCACAAATACCTTAGCAAAGGGTAAGGGATTAATATAACCAACGGAATCTCATAATCCATTTTTCAGTGAATCGATATGGTACCAGCGGACCTTTGAGTTCGGTTATCCTCTCTTCTGCGGAGGCCCTCCGTCAAAAAATGGATGGTCTGGAGCACAGAGTCACTAATTTATTATCAAAAGAAGGCTGTAAGAAATTAGGAAAATTAAAAGGATTTTATAATTTGATTTTTCAGTGAATCCCTCCGGTACCAGTGAGCCTTTGAGCTCGTTCAAAGCTAGAAAGCTTTCTGAAAGACAATCTGAATTCTCGAAGCTTCCCGAGGGATTCTCTCGTCAACAAGTTCAAGCTATGGAGCAAAAGTTTGCTGTCAAACAATTTTTAGCACGTTATGAACGGAAACAATTGACTGAGAGCATTGGTTTGAAGGAGAGAGAGGTTAGTTGATGTGAAAAAATTACAAATTTCAAACTTTCGAAATTTTCTGAAAATCGAAGCCTTTCAAACAAATTTTATATCGTTAAAACGTTTTCCTGCAGCATTCCGGTAATTTTGACACCAATATTGATCCGATTCGAGTGTATTCGATTTTTGACATCTCCTGAATTCATAATACACGAAATTTCCAAATATATGCAATATGGCTATCAAAATGACAGGAATTCAATGAGTATCAGTTCTAACGACATTAAAAGTTGGAAAAGTGAAAAATAGAAAAATAAAATTTGGAAACTTCGAAAAAAACAATTTGTCAATTTTTCGATTTTTTGGAATTCTTGGGCTCCAAACACATTTTGAGTGAATTTTCACTTCGTTACAGCAATTCCCTACAATTTTCCGGTCATTTTGATACCAATATTGACCCGATTCGAGAAGATTCGATTGTTGACGTCTTCTGAATTCAGAATCCTCAAAGTTTTGGAAATATAGGCAATATGGGTATTAAAATGACGGAAATTCAATGAGTAACATATCTAACGATATGAAAAGTTGATCCAACTAAATTTATCCGACTTTCAGGTAAAAGAATGGTTCCAAGATCGACGTGAAGATGAAGAAGACAAGGAAGATTGGGAGTGGGATACTGATACCGACTATGATTATGGTATGGACGAATCGATGGAATGGTATCCGAAGAAGTTCTCTCGTCAGCAGGTTCAAGCTATGGAGCAAAAGTTTGCTGTCAAGCAATTCTTGACACTTTTTGAACGGAAGGAATTGGCTGAACTCATTGGATTGAAGGAGAGAGAGGTTAGTACTCTACCAGAGCCATTTCAAACGAATTTCATTTCGTTAAAACGATTTCTTTTTGTTTTCCGGTCATTTTGATACCCATATCGACCCAATTCGGAAGTATTCAATTTTTGACGTCTTCTGAATTCAGAATCTTGGAAATATAGGCAATATGGGTATGAAAATGACGGGAATTCGATAAGTATCAGTTCTTACAACATGAAAATTTGATCCAACCGAATTTATTCAACTTTTCAGGTAAAACATTGGTTCCAAAATCGACGTAATGACGAGGAGGTCAAGGAAGATAGGGAGTCTGACTATTCTGATTCTGATAGCGACTATGATTATGATATGGACGGACCGATGGAACAGTATTCAAAGAAATTCTCTTTTCGACAAGTCGAAGCTCTGGAGCAACATTACGCTAAAAACAAGTATCCTGATAGTGAGGTCCGGGAACGATTGGCTCGAGCCAACAATTTGACGGAGACACAGGTTTGTAGTATGAGTTTATTTTTTTCAAAGCTGTTCCCCACCGTTTTCTCTTCAAAACAAGCCCAGAATCACTCAATTCCTTCATTCCTGAGCCAAGAAACACATTTTGCTTCTCTGCGCCCTCCGCTCTCTAGCTTTGACCTCTTTAAAGGTGCATATATAGCTTCAAATTCAACCCTGAAAAATTAAAATCTTATAGTTTTGTAGGAAATTTTGAGAGCTTTCTGGTGATATACAATACCAATACAAAACATGTTTTATCCTGGCTTAAAAATCGCTTTTCTAATTTTTGCCCGTTTTCAGGTGGAGACTTATTTTATAGACCGACGAAGATTCCAAAATGCTGAATCCTTGAACCAGATTGTTAGAAATCAACAAAGCCAAGGAGTGTTTAGAGATAGAACAAGGGATAAAATTGCTACCGTGCCAACCTGGCACTTGAGTCCCACGAAATCTGAACGTTTCGGCATCAGCAAGCCTTCAAGCTCGTCTATCCTCCCTTCTGGAAAGGATCTTCGTCAAAAATTGGATGATCTGGAGCACAAATTCACTGATAGCTTTGCAAAGGATTACTGTAAGGGATCAGGGAAATCAAAACGAGATCTAATAACCCATTTTTCAGCGAATACTTCTGGTACTAGCGAGCCTTTGAGCTCGTTCAAAGCTAGGAAACTTCCAGAAAGACATTCTGGATTCTCGAAGTTTCCCTGGGAAAGCTACTCTCGCCAACAGTTTGAAGCTATGGAGCAAAAGTTTGCTGTCAAACAATTCCTGACTCATGATGAACGAAAGGAACTGGCTGAGAGCATTGGTTTGAAGGAGAGACAGGTTAGTTCTTTTCGAAATTATCAGACTCCGGAAGCATTTTAAACAAAATCCACTTCGTTGAAACAATTTTCCGCAATTTTCCGGTCATTTTGATACCAATATCGACCAAATTCGGGAAGATTCGATTTTTGACGTCTTCTGAATTCAGAATTCGCAAAGTTTTGAAATATAGGCAATATGGGTATCAAAATGACAAAAATTCAATGATTAACAATTCTAACGACATGAAAAATTAGAAAAATGGGAAACAGAAAAAATTTCAAAAATTCAAGTTTTTGATGTTTTTAACTTTTCAAAGTTTCTGACTCTAGAAGCGTTTTAAAACAAATTTCACTTTGCTAAAACAATTTCCCGCGATTTTCCGGTCATTTTGATACCAATATCGACCAAATTCGGGAAGATTCGATTTTTGACGTCTTCTGAATTCAGAATTCCCAAAGTTTGGAAATATAGGCAATATAGGTATCAAAATAACGGGAATTCAATAAACAACAATTCTAACGACATGAAAATTCAAGCCAACTGAATTTATCCAATTTTTCAGGTTAAACATTGGTTCCAAGATCGGAGGGATGCGGAAGAGGACAAGGAAGATGATTCTGATTTGGAAGAACTTATGAAAATGTCTGGGAAAGTCGAAGAAGAGAAGCCGGAGTGGTTGAAGATGGCTGAAAAGATCAGCAAGTTCTCCGAACTGATGTTCCCAGTGGCCATATTGATGATTTTTTTCATGTCTTTGTCATTTTCATTTTTATATTTTTTCCAATTTTTAAATTTTTGAATTTTTCTGACTCCAGAAGCATTTTCAGCAAATTTCACTCGTTGAAACGATTTCCTGCAGTTTTTTGGTCATTTTGATACCAATATTGACCAAATTCGAGAATATTCTATCTTTGACGTCTTCTGAATTCAGAATTCACAAAACTTTGGGAATATAAGCAATATGGGTATCAAAATGACGGAAATCACCTGGGTAACACTTCTAACAACACATATTCTCTTGAAAAGTGAAAAATAGAAATTTTATTGCTTAAAAATTGTTTTATTTCAATTCCTCTGATGTCTTTTGTCATTTTTCATGTGTAATAAATCGTTTTGTATTTTTATGTCTTTCTCAACAAACGGGCAGAAGGGAGTACTGATGGCATAACTTTCTCCATAGAAAAATTCTAGGCCACGAGAACGAAACTTCAGGAAAATGGATTTATTTTCAAAAATAAAATAAATTAATTTTGAAAAAAGTAATCCAGTTCAATAACATCATCATCTTTAGAAAATTTAGTTTTTCTTCCTGACGTCTTCTGAATTGCCACGTCACATCTTGTTAAAGAATTCAGAGAGGATGACGGGGTGGACAATGGGGCGCCAAACCAGATTTCCTGACAAAAGAAAATGTTCATAATTTTTCTATTTGTCGTTTTTTTCAATTTTTCATAACTTCAGAATTGTTACTCATCAAATTCCCGTCATTTTGATACCCATATTGCCCTATATTCAAAAAATTTCGTGAATTCTGAATTCAGAAGACGTCAAAAATCGAATCTTCCCGAATCGGGTCAATGTTGGTATCAAAATCATCGGAAAACTGCCGGGAAATGTTTTAACGAAGTGAAATTTGTTTGAAATAGTTCTAGAGTTCCTAAATTCCGAAAGTTTGGAAAATTGAAAAAAACGAAATTTTTCGAAATTTTTCCTATTTTTCAATTTTGTAGTTTTTCATGACGTTAGAATCGTTTCTTGTCGAATTCCTGTCATTTTGATACCCATTTTGCCCTATATTCCAAAAATTTCATGAATTCTGAATTCAGATGACGTCAAAAATCGAATCTTCCCGAACTGAGTCAATATTGGTATCAAAATGACCGGAAACTGCAGGGACTCGTTTTAACAAAGTGAAATTTGCTCGAAAATCTTCTGGATTCAGTAAAGTTAGAAAAATTGGAGTTTGAGAAAATGTTTATAAATGACCATGATAAGCCATGAAAATAATAAAATCCATCCCAAATAACAAATTTCTTTATCTCTTCGCTGACAAACTGCTTCAGAAGCGCATTCCATAAGAATTCAGAAGACCAAATATTAGAAAAATAAGAAAAAAGGTGCCAAAATTTTATGGAGCCGGAAATGGACAATTTTAGCTGGGGGAGAGACAAAAAATGGGGAAAATAACAATGGGGGAAAGAGTGATATTTGGGGTTTGGAAGATCAGAATTTTTCGACTAAAAACAGTTTTTAGAAAATAATTTTCTTATTTCTCAATGCTAAACATTTTCATGTCGTTAGAATGGTAACCCATCAAATTTCTGTCATTTGGATACCCATATTGCCTATATTTCCAAATTTTGTGAATTCTGAATTCAGAAGACGTCAAAGATAGAATATTCTCGAATATAGGCAATATGGGTATCAAAATGATCGGAAAATCGCAGAAAATCGTTTTAACAAAGTGAAATAAGCTGGAAATGCTTCTGGAGTCAGAAAATTGCAAAAACTTAGGCACTTTCATAGAAAAGGAATACAATTGAAAATGAAAAAGACATGAGAAAGAATTTAAAAATGAAGGTATTAAGATTTTTTCAATAGGATTACTGTAGTCTACTTGAACAAAGCTGTCAGCATGAAGAAAATCATACAAACCAAGAAGATCAAAAGGGCCACCGGTACCATCATTTTACAGAAATCGCTGATCTCTCGAGCTACCTTGTACCAGCCCTGCTTCTCTTTTTCGACATTTGGTTGTTTTTCCATCAAACCATAACCACAATCAGAATCACTCTCATCCTCCTTGTCCTCTTCCTCACGACGTCGGTTTTTGAACCAGGTTTTGACCTGAAAAGTGGGAAAAACTCAATTGGATCGACTCTTCATATCGTTAGAAATGTTACTCATTTTGAATTCCCGTCATTTTGATACCCATAATGCCCATGTTTCCAAAATTTAGTGAATTCTGAATTCAGAATACGTGGAAATTCCAATATTCTCGAATATAGGAAATATGAGTATCGAGAATGACCGAAAAAAGACTGCAAATCGTTTTAACAAGGTGAAATTTGTTTAAAGTGCTCCTGGAGTCTGATAATTTCAAAAAGAACTAACCTGGTTCTCCTTCAAACCAATGCTCTCAGCCAGTCGTTTCCGGTGGAAACGTGGCGGAATTGGATGAGAATGAAGTTTCGCTCCAGAGCGTCAACCTGTTGACGAGAGAATCCCTCAGGAAGCTTGCTAGCTTCAAACGATCTTGAAAGCTCGCTGGCGTCAGAGCGTGATTTTGAGATTCCAAAAGTCGTTTCTTTCCAAAAGTTGTCAGCATTCGTTTCCTTACAGTGAAACTTCACAAAACGAGCCTTTTTAGCATGTTCATTATTCTCCTCCCGTTTCTGTCTGTATCGTCGATCTTGAAACCAAATTTTCACCTGAAAACGGGTAAAGTGTTAAGCTCAATTATCTCGCTTCAAAACAAGAAACGGTCAACTGATAAAATGTTACTGATATTATGATAAACATTTTGTCAGTTTAAAGTTTTTGGATATCTTTCACAAGTAGCGAGATATAAAGGTTCTAAATTGGCAATAGCGTGTGGTTGCCGCCTCCAGCTACCGAACCGGCGGCTCTACATGGCTGTCAGCTTTTAGACTATACATCCCGCTCCAAGCTAAAGATATCAAAATGTGGTAAACTGACAAAATGTTACTGGTATTATGATAAACATTTTATTAATTGACACCTTTTTGATATCTTTCACAGAAATCGAGATACATGGGCTCAACGTTGGTGGTTTTACTGACCTGTTCCTCCGTCAAATTTGTAATTCTAGCTAGTTCCGCCTGAATTGCAGGAGTGAGGTGTTTGTTGATGGTGAATTGATGCTCCAGAGCTTGTGATTGGAGAGAAGAGAAGTATACCGTTCGTTTTTCCCTGATTTCAGAATTCTGATTCCCATTTCCAGCAGTCAAACGGGCGAGCAGGGAGATCATATTTTCGTGAAAGACAAAGCCATCAACTGAAACTTAGACGTTCACTTTTCTCCAAACTTTAATGATCTATGAAACTCACCATTTAATGTATCCCTGGAGTTTGAATCGGTAGCTGTTTCCTTACAGTAATTCTTCAAAACAGATGGCTTCTCTGAAGACTTGACATCCTTCACAGATTCTGGAGCTTGGTTCGAGGTCTCACCCATTGGATCTTCTTCCTTTAGCATGCTTGATCCTCCACCACAGCCGGCTGCGGTGGTTGGTCTAGAGCTCATCGAGTCAACATTCTCATCCATTTTCTCAAGTTTCTCATGAGGAGCTGCTCCTTGAGTCGACAGTCGAGACTCCTGGAGTTCTTTTTGGATTTTATAAATCGTCTCTGCCAGTAAATGATAGTATTGTTCACGGTCGTTTGCCGATTCAAAAATCTCCTTTTCAACCGTCCTGGCATAAGCGATCAAGTCCTTCAGTTCATTGTCACTCAATGCTCTTAGATAAGGCTCTGGGAATATCGCTTTGACCAACTTTCCAACCAAATGGTTTCGGAGATTTTCGGTAACTGTATGATGCCATTCCTTTGTACAATCCGGCACATCCGGTGGAGCTAAGTTCTTTCCATTGCTGCCGTCTGGCTGTGGTGGACCGTGGTAACCATTCCGTTGGAATGGATCTCCATGAAATCCCTCGAAGGAAGAATTGGGAATGTGTCCAGAGTGCATAGAAGGAGAACCATATTGGGACAGCCCGTCACCCTCTGCACTTCCTTTCGAGTTTCCATTGACTCCGATTGAGTTGGCGAGATCGGGTGCTGAAAAAGAAAAGGATCAAATCAAATAATTCTTTGAAGTCTGTCACATCTTCTGGTACCGTTGTGGCATGGTGGCGCAACTGATAACAGTTCTAACTCACCATTTAAGCTATCATCATCTTTAAATGTATCCCGTTCTTCTTTTTTAAATTGATCTAGCAGCTTCTTTTCCTCTGATCGTCGAATTTGGAGGAATGCTTCAAGCTGAAAAGGGCATTTGGGTTGACTATTTTTATATCGAACTACAAACCTGCAGCTCCGTCATCTTCAGGCTTTTAGCCATTTGGTTACGAACAGAAGAGGCCAGGTACTTGTCGTAGAAGTAGTCTTGATCCGGAACTTGAACTATTTGAGAAGAGGGGCTTCCAGATACAGTAGTCTGGCTTGCAGTTTCAGCATCCTGACTCTCAATTCTAGCTTGAACTGGTTGAAGCGAGAGAACTCCAGATACAGTATTCTGGCTTCCAGCCTCACATTTTTGATCTTCTGATTCGGTATTCTGGATTTTAGCTCCAGAATTTTGGTTTCCAGCCTCAGAATTCTGCTTTTTAGATTCAGCTATCTGTCGTTCAGCTTCCGACAAGTGCATCATACTCACAGGGTAGACCTTGCTGGATCGATTCGCTGAAATCAGGATTATTATAATACCGAACTGGCAGAATTCGTTAAACTAACAAGCATCAATAAACCGTGCTCGCAATTCGCTTACATAGTCTTCGTCAAAGACGATGAAAGGGGTATCCGGCGCCGAGTTGGATGAGCTGGGTTGGTTAGAAACCATTCTAGAAATTTGAGCGTACATATATCAAAAACGAAAAAAAAGTATGGAAGAGTGAGAATTGAGCAATTCACAACAATTTTTAGATTACAAAAATCTCTATTTTGAAGCGAGTTACAGCGACATGAAGTTGGTGGCCTAGAAACCCAAATTTTCAAAAAACTAGGCCGCAACATATATCATTAGAAAACTCGTATTTTGTGAAATTCGTAACAATTTTTAGATTTTCAAAATCTTTATTTCGAAACTAGTTACAGTCATTTGGACTCGATGGTCGAGTTTTGGATTTCTAGGCCACCAACGTCAAAATCGATGTGCTTCGAACTAGAGATTTTTTGAAATCTGAAAACTGTGTCGTCGTCTGACAACTTGCGCTTTCGATCCACGTCACTTGTGGCCTAGTTTTTCAAACATTTGGATTTCTAGGCCAGCAAAGTTCAGAGGATCGTATTGATTTTTAGACGCAGAAAGCAGAGGAAACAAAAAGAGTGGAGGGCAGTGCGCAGAAAATTGTATGATTGAGAAGACGAACGATGGAGGGATGCCTGTTTGGTCCAAATGGTCCTGCGCTAAGCTCCGCCCCCAGGGCGAGGAGGGTGGGTGGTGGTCCGGGGGAAGAACCAACACCCCGCGTTTTTCTGTGTCAAGGTCATAATGAGAGTGTCTGGGTAGAGAGAAGACAAGTAATCAATCTTAATGCACACAGAAAAATAGGAGTCATTTGGGACAGGTACTGTATCTGTGGAAGGACTTGTGGGAAGGACAATGAAGGATCTAAAAGAACAGAGAAACAATACTGGCGACTTATTGGGCGGATACAATTTGGCTAAGTTCTCCTCTGACTATTTTTCTCTCCTCTGACTATTTTTCTCTCCTCTGACTATTTTTCTTCAATTGTTCCCCTGTGGAACGCCATCACTTCCCAAGTTACCCGATTTCTCCTACTTTCCGAGTTTGAATTCTTAATTTCTTCCAGTATTACCCGTTATTGATATATTTGCTCCCCTATTTTTCTTTTTCTACCGGTTACATCTTTCCTGTGTCAAATATCTAAATTATCCCGTTTCCCCTCCCCTACTCAGATCGGCCTCGTGAGGGGCATTTTTTCTGAGTCTTTCATGTCCTGCCCTCTAATGTTTTATTACACCTGATCAATAAACAAATTAAATTAAATTAAGTAAGAACTGCCGAATGTTTTTCCAAGAATGTCCAAAAGCCAGCCTTGTCCAGATCACCCCAAACAGATCGTGCGTCTTAACGTTTTGATCGAGACTTGTAATAATCAAGTAGACTACAGTAATCCTATTGAAGAAGATCCTGTCTGGATGTTTTAAATTCTTTCTCATGTCTTTTTCATTTTCAATTGTATTCCTTTTCTATGAAAGTGCCTAAGTTTTTGCAATTTTCTGACTCCAGAAGCATTTCCAGCTTATTTCACTTTGTTAAAACGATTTTCTGCGATTTTCCGATCATTTTGATACCCATATTGCCTATATTCGAGAATATTCTATCTTTGACGTCTTCTGAATTCAGAATTCACAAAATTTGGAAATATAGGCAATATGGGTATCAAAATGACAGAAATTTGATGGGTTACCATTCTAACGACATGAAAATGTTTAGCATTGAGAAATAAGAAAATTATTTTCTAAAAACTGTTTTTAGTCGAAAAATTCTGATCTTCCAAACCCCAAATATCACTCTTTCCCCCATTGTTATTTTCCCCATTTTTTGTCTCTCCCCCAGCTAAAATTGTCCATTTCCGGCTCCATAAAATTTTGGCACCTTTTTTCTTATTTTTCTAATATTTGGTCTTCTGAATTCTTATGGAATGCGCTTCTGAAGCAGTTTGTCAGCGAAGAGATAAAGAAATTTGTTATTTGGGATGGATTTTATTATTTTCATGGCTTATCATGGTCATTTATATCACTAAAGTGAGTTTTGGAATTTTGGAGTTTTTGAAATTTTCAAAAAATTCGGAAAACATTTTTTTCCAATTTCAAAATTTTCGAGTTTTCAGACTCTAGAAGTATTTTAAGCAAATTTCGCTTTGTTAAAGCAATTTCTAGTGATTTTCTGGTCATTTTAATACCCACATTGTCCCTATTCGGTGAGATTCGAAATTTGACGTCTTCTGAATTCATAATATACAACTTTTCGAATTATAGACAATATGGGTATCAAAACGACGGGAATTTGATGAGTAACAATTCTGACGTTATGAAAAATTGAAAAAACGACAAATAGAAAAATTATGAACATTTTCTTTTGTCAGGAAATCTGGTTTGGCGCCCCATTGTCCACCCCGTCATCCTCTCTGAATTCTTTAACAAGATGTGACGTGACAAAGACTTCAAGAAGAAAACGAAGAACTTCTGATGATAATGGAGATGTCATCGAACTGGATGATTTTTTCCAAAATTAACTACTGTGCAATTTGTGAAATTTTTAATTTTTCTGAATATATAAAGATTCCAGAAACATTTTGAACAGCTTTCACTTCGTTAAAACAATTTCCTGCCACTTTCCGGTCATTTTGATACCCAGATTGCCTATATTCCATAAGATTCGAATTTTGACGTCTTCTGAATTCAGAATTCTCGAAATCTCGAAATGTGGGCAATATGGGTATCAAAATAACGGGAATTCAATGAGTAACAATTCTAACGACATGAAAAGTTGAAAAAGTAAGAAATTCCATTTATTTTTCTATAAAATAAGAAAAAATCATTTGTTAATGTCTTCGTTGGTCGTCAGAAGGAGAGAGAAAATCGATTTTCAAGTCGCCTTCAGCTGAATTGTGATGTCGCCCATTTGGGAGCCAGCCTGGAAAAAATTTAAATTTTTAAATTTTTTTGAAATTTTTAAAAAATTTCAAAATCTCAAGAAATACCTTAAACGGAGCCCATGGCTCAATCTCATCGGCAGGAACTTCTGCCCAAAGAACTGCCAATTTATCGTCTTTTGCTGGTCCATCCAAACGAAGAATTTCCAATTTTGTACGCCCTTTTATTTCCAAAAATCCAAACACTGGACGAACACGATACTGATCATTATTCGAGCATTTTACCTAAATTTTGGAATTTTCAGACTCCATGATCGTTTTAAGCAAATTTCACATCGTTAAAACAATTTCCTACAGTTTTTCGGTCATTTTGATACCAATATTGACCATATTCGGGATGGTTCGATTTATGACGTCTTCTGACTTCAGAATTCACGAAATTTGGAAACATAGGCAAGATGGGTATCAAAATGACGGAAATCGCAAGGTTAACAATTCTAACAACATGGAAAAATGGAAAAGCGCAAAATCGGAAAAAATCTAAAAAATGATAATTTGAATTTTTTTTATTTTTCTATTTCTTTTAACCCGAAAAGCATTTTTAGCAAATTTCACTTCGTTGAAATAATTTTTGTAGTTTCACGGTCGTTTTGATACCCATATTGACCCTATTCGGTGAGATTCGAATTTTGACGTCTTCTGAATTCAGAATTCACAAAATTTGGAAGTATAGGCAATATGGGTATCAAAATGACGGAAATCTCGTGGGTAACATTTCTAACAAAATGAAAAGTTGAAAAACTGGCAAATAGAAACAAATTGCCAAAAAATTCAAAAAAAAATATTTTTCCAATTTTGAAGTTTTCACATTTTCAGACTCCATGATCATTTCAAGCAAATTTCGCTTCGTTAAAACGATTTTCTGTATTTTTATGATCATTTTGATACTAAATTTGACCCGATTCGGAAAGATTCGAATTTTGACGTCTTCTGAATTCAGAATTCAAAAAATTTGGAAATATAGGCAATATGGGTATCAAAATGACGGGAATCACCTGGGTAACACTTCTAACGACTTGAAAATTTGGAAAAAAAGGAAATAGAAAAGAAATTTCAGAAAAAAAACCTTAAAAGCAATTCTCGATTCCGCAGTCGATGAAAGGAAGTGAATTGAGTTTCCACCGGTTGCCGGAAACGTCGCCGTCGTCGGGTCGACAGTTACATTTTGAGAATTGTCCATTTTTTGGACAAAAATCCGCAGAAATAATTAATTTAATTATTTTTTATGTCTAGCAACTTTTGCAACGTCATTTTCAACAAAAATGTGATCTAAAAACGTTGTTTTTCGATTTTTTGAATTTCGCGCGCTCAAAAAATCAATAATCGCCAGCTATTACTTCTTCTGACATCTCCGACGACGATGACGTCCGTTGTGGAGAATGAGAATTCTGAAAAAGTGAAAAAAGAAGAAATCCGGATGAAAATTCCGGCGGGAACGTTGAATAAGAAAATCGATATTTGATCGGGTGACGTGGAGACAAAGAAATTTGAATTGGATGTTTCTACGAAACAGGTACGGTAATGGTTTGGCAGGAATTTGAATTTTTGAATTTTTGAAAACTCCTTAGACTTTGAGCTCAATTATCTCGATTTCTGTAAAAGGTATCAAAAAGTGGTCAACTAATAAAATTTTTCTGATAACATGATGAACATTTTATTAGTAGAATACTTTTTATTACTTTCACAGGAAACGAGACAATTGAGCTCAAAGTTGGCTGTTGCGTATGGTCGCCGCTCCTGCCGGCGGCTGCAAACAACTGTCAGGTTTGTGCCCCTATATCTCGCTTCTCAAGAAAGATATCAAAAAGTAGTCAACTGATAAAACATTGCTGATAATATGATAAATATTTTATTAGTTGACCAAAATTTGATATATCTCACAGGAACCGAGATATATTAAGTCAAGTACAAGTATACAAAATTTTGCCCATTTTCACTTTGGTGCTCTTCAACAGTGAACGTGTCGGTTGGGAGTATACTCAATCGAAGATTTTGTTGAAGAATCCAACGAAAAATCGATATACATACAAAGTAAAAGTTACTGATAACGAAATGTTTGATATCAAACTCCCAGTTGGATTCATTGACCCAACAGATGTATTCGAAATTGAAGTTTGGCATGTTCCTGGTCTTTTGGTCCCGAAAAATGATTATCATCATTTTTCTGTCTATCATATCAAGTGTGATAAGAATGCGGTGGTAAGGAAAATTTTAAGCTTCAAAATAAATTTGGCCTGGCGCGAAATTCAAAAAGTTTAAAAATTTCGATTTTTCGAATTTTTTCCGAAAAAATTCCATACTTGCACTTTGAGCTCAATTATCTCAATTTCTAAAAAAGTAATTATAAAGTAGTTAACTGATACAATGTATATCATAACATTTTACGCATTTCATTAGTTTTCAAATTTTAGTTAGCGTTTATGGTTTTTGAGATATGCGCCTTTAAATTTGGAGGCGCCCCTCGATTCTCCGTGAAGGATGCCCATTGTTAACTTTGAGGTTGATTATCTCGGTTACTGAAAGAGATATCGGAATTTTGTTAACTGATAAAATGTTTATTATAATATCAGCAATAATTTATTAGTTAACTACTTTTTGATATCTCTGATAGCAACCGAGATAACGGAGCTGAAAGTTGGGGTGACGATTTTTTGTAAGATTTTTTTTGTTGATATTTTAAAATTTCAAATTTTCAGGACTTTCATCCAATCTGGAAATCTAAGAAACCGGACGGCTGTGCCAATTCGATTTCCAGATTATCGATTGGTCCCAAAATTCGATCCGCCGAAGAAAAAGGGAATTCACGAAGACAAAAAATTGGAAAATCAAAAGGGAAAAAACAAGAAAAATGATGGAAAAAAGATGCCGGAAAAGAAGACGTCGGACGACGGCAAAAAAGGTTTTTTTCAGAATTTTAAAATCCAAATTCTGAACAAATTTTTTTCAGAAGACGTCAACGGCGTCGGAGAATCCTCTGAAGAAGTAATTCCTCAAGATCTCTCGATATCGAGGAAAAGGGTTTTTAAAAAATCATCAATCAGTTTTTCATCCCTAATTTTTTTGGAAGTTTTGATTTTTGAAAAAAAAAATCAAAAATTCCAAAATAAATGAAGGAATATTATTGTAACTTTTTATTTGGGTGGAATAAATGAATTTATTTCCTTGTTGTTGGAATTGTTACCCATCGAATTCCCGTCATTTTGATACCCATATTGCCTATATTTCCAAATTTTGTGAATTCTGAATTCAGAAGACGTCAAAATTCGAATCTCACCGAATAGGGTCGATATGGGTACCAAAATGACCGGAAAACTGCAGAAAGTTGTTTTAACAGAGAGAAATTTGCTTAAAATGTCTACAGAGGGACACAATTTCACAAATTGAAACAAAACAACTTTTTTATTTTTCGGATTATTTCTAGGTTTTCTCGAATTTTACAAGTTTCCATGTCGTTAGAATTGTTACTTATTGATTTCCCGTCATTTTGATACCCATATTGCCACTTTTTGAAAATTTTAAGAATTCTGGATTCAGAAGACGTCAAAATTCGAATCTCACCGAATAGGGTCAATATGGGTTTCAAAATGACCGGAAAACTGCAGGGAAATGATTTAACAAAGTGAAATTTGCTGAAAATGCTTCTGGAGTCAGCTAAATTCAAAACATTAAGAAATTGGGAAATTTTAATTTTTTCAATTTTTCGGAATTTTCCCCATTTTTGCCATTTGTCATCACTTCATGTCGTCAGAATCGTTTCCCATTGAATTTCCATCATTTTGATATTCATATTGCCTATATTCCCAAATTTTGTGAATTCTGAATTCAGAAGACGTCAAAATTCAAAGTTTCCCGAATATAGTCGAATTTGGTATCAAAATGACCGGAAAACCATGAGAAATCGTTCTAACAAAACTAAATTCGCCTAAAATGATCTGGAGCCAGTAAATTTTGATAAATTTGAAACTGTCTATTTTTGCTGTCTCAAATGCAAAATTTGACATTTTGACTCCTACTTTTTTTGGGCATTACCGTATGAACCATAAGAATTTTGTACCATTAGAATTAAAAAAAATCTAAAATTTCAAGGTTCATCTTACTGTAGATTGTGTTTCCAAAGCTTTCGCCCCCTATTCTAAGACTTACTATTAGCAGTCATGTAGTCTTTTTTACGCCTACTGTACCTTCGTTCATCGACTAGATACAGTAACCCAAATAACATCATTTTGTAGCTCTTGAGTTGTTCTATTATATCCATTTTAGTTGGTCCAGAAGTATTAAATTTGAAGGAAGTTATGGTCCGTTTTAGGACCTGCTAGAGGTGCTGGACAAATTGAAAATCTACAGTAGTTTTCTCGAATGACGTCATAGAATGAGCAATGTCACACCCATCTGTGAGTAGCTGGTGTTGCCCACAAAATAGCACTATTAAAGGACGCATAGGTCATGAGAACTAGATAGAGAGAGAGACGCAGACAACAAAAGTCTGCGTCTGGTCAGACAACGCGCCACTAACAGCCCACTATTCAACTCTCATATTCTCCAAATTGACGACTTGACTGAATAGACGTCTCTTAACTTCGGAACTTTCCAGAAGAATCCTGATGAATGGATTCTGGAAAGTTCCTACTTATTTTTTCTAAAAATCTGCATCTACTTTTATTCCTAAAAATCTATGGATTTCCGTTTCAAAATGGTGAGTTTTAAAGCTTCAAATATAGCCAAATTTTGTATCGTTTTGTAGCTTTTCTTAAGTTCTACATTTCACTTTTCGATTCAACCAAAGATTCCAATTTTGAGCCGAGTTATGCGCCTTTAATGTTCGACAAGATCGACAAGGCGCGTATCTCTAACGCGTCCAACTTTAAAGACGCATATCTCGAAAACTACAAAAGCTAGCTAAAATTTAAAATCAAGTAAAATGCGTAAAATATCATGACCTATATTTTTGTAATTGACAAATTTTGTCCGGCGTACCTAGTTTTTGAGTTATGTGTCTTTAAACACAAACTCTCACATTTCATCTACAGTAGTCTACTCAAATGACGTCATATGAGCAATATCACACCCATATGTGAGTAGCTGGTATTGCCCACTGAATAGGACTATTGGATGAGGCATGTCGAAACAAAAAAGCCACTTGTAACCTTGATGCCTAAGGATAGAGAGACACAGAGAGTCATTTAGTTGTGGTAGAGTACAGTACCCTACTCAAATGACGTCATACCATGAGCAATATCACACCCATCTGCGAGTACCAGGTATTGCCCTCTAAAAAGCACTTGTAGATGACGCATAGGCCATGAGAACTAGAGATAGAGAGACGCAGACAACAAAAATGTGTCTCTCTGGTCATTCAACGCGCCCCCAGCTAGTCAGTTCTACTCTCATATTCTCCAAATCGACGACTTGACTGAATAGACGTCTTTGGGGACTTTCCAGAAGAATCCTAATGAATGGATTCTGGAAAGTTCCTACCTATTTTTTCTAAATATCTACATCTTCTATTATTCTTACTTCTAGAAATCTTCTTATTGGATTTTTCTCCAAATGGTGAGTTTTAAAACTTTAAATATAGCCAAATTTAATATCGTTTTGTAGCTCTTTTTAAGTTCTACATTTTACTTTTTGAATCAATTAGAAATCCCAATTTTGAGCCGAGTTATGCGCCTTGAATGTATAGAAAGAACGACAAGACGCGTACCTCTAACGCGTCCAACTTTAAAGGCGCATAGCTCAAAAACTACAAAAGCTAGTTAGAATTTGTTAAATAGTAAAATGCGTAAATTTTTGTGATCTGCATTTTGCTAGTTTACAGTTTTTTGATATATTGAATAACAGCTCAAATGAACATAATATAAAGTCGCTAATAGAGTTGTATCCAGAAATTTTGAGATAAATAATTTTGAGATAAATCATCTGGGTTCTTTTGAGATGTATTAAGAGTCTGTCAACTAATAAAATGTAGATGATATTATCATCAACATTTTGCTAATTGACTATGTTTTGATATCGCTTATAGAAAGTGAGATAATTGAGCATAAAGCTGAAATATGTCCCAAATGCTCACAAAATTTGACACCCCGATTTGGTCTGTGAGTCTTTTCAACGAGCCAAAAGTCACTTGGAATCTTTTCTCTCTAAAAACATCTTATCGCAAGATGAGTCGTCAAAACTAACAGATTCAGTTTCTGCGACCTCAAAAACCCCAAATTTACAAAAATCCCACATGAACATTTTCAAAACTCCAAGTTTGCATTATCATGTTTGAAAAGGACGGCTTACAATTTTTCTTAAATATAAACTTTTAAAAGTCTTTTCAGTTTAAAATTTTTTAATTTTCAGAAATTCACGTTCTGGAAAGCTCTGACAGACGAGCAAAAAAGAAGTTGTGCCGTTGATCACCCAGCCAAAATCAGAGGCAACAAATGGAACATAAAAAACGGCATCACAATTTCCGACGAGGAAAAGAAAGAGCCGAACAATATGGATATAATCAGAAAATGAAATACGACAGATGACAGCCCAGGGATATAAGGAAGTTGTTCCAAACGAAACTCCAATGATTGGTCGAATACGACAATGACTTCATATGATCGCTGGAGGAGAAGAAAAAGGACAACCTGGTCTAAAAAAATTCAAAGGAATCTTCAAATACACTTCGGGATATCCAGTTTAGCAAGAAAATTCTCAAATAGGCCTATTCGCAATTTTTCCAGATCTGCTTCGAGCCAATCCTGGCATAAAATGTTGATAGAACGCTAAAAAATTGCTCGAGAACGATCTGCCGGAGGTGAAGAAAAAGAAGAGGATGAGCAGAACGTCTCCATGTCTACTCCAGAATCTCCATTTTCATCAAACTTGGCCCCAGAAGAAATCATTCAAGAATACGTGAAGCCGGCTGAATCGATCGAGGATTTAGATATTCATGAAAAAGTTGCTGATGAAAATGAAAAAGAAGCTGAATATCAATCTGCTGAAGAAGAAGACGAAGAAGAGAACAATCAAGACTTCCATAGATCCGTTCCAGAACCTTTTGGTTTTTCAAGCTTGGCACCAGAAACAGAGATTCAAGATGAGCAAGCCCCTAATCCAAATGCAATTTCTAAAGATTTTGAAGAAACTGAGGAAGCCGAATCTTCAGTTTCAACTTTGGCGGATGTAGACGACACAGCTAGATTTGAAAAAGAAGAAGACGCTGAAGCTCCAACTGAAATCGAGGAACTTGAAGTGCTTTCTTCCAGAGAAGCTAATGAAGGTTCAATGATGCACCAAGATGTTGCCAATCCTGAATCCGAACCCCAGAGTACACTTGCAAACGATGCCCCAGCTGAGAATTATCATGAAGATCATTCGATCAGTGATTTGACAGATGAAGACGAGCTCAATGATGTAGAAGAAGAAGAAGATCCAATTATTCCCCAGAACACTGCCTCCTACACCCAGGATAGCTTTGAAGATTTTTTGGAACAACATCGATTTTCTGTTCCACATTCCAAAATGGAGGAAATTGAAAAACGGGAAGATTGCAAAGAAACTTCGACGTCCTTCTGGGATCAAGTTTGGCCAACTTCTGAGAAACCAGCCGGAAATGAGGGTGAAAAAGGTGAGGCTTTGAATCCAAATAATGCTTCAAAAAGTGATTCAGAAGTTGAATCACAGCAACATGGTGGCGACGAAGATTGCCAACCCGAAGAAAAGAATAATTCGGAATACGTGGTTCTAGAAAGTGGAACTGCTGAAACATCCAATGGTGAGAGATCAACACATCATGCTCTTGAATCACAAGAAGCACTTCTGAAATCGCCAACTATAGAGAAGAGAGATGAGAAGCATGAATCAGGTCCTTCCTCTCTTCCAAGCTTTACTAGTTCGTCCATCTCTTCGGTGGAAGAATATTCTCCTGATTTACCTGGATACGGAAAAGAAGAAAAGGCAGTAGATTGTTTCGAACACTCGTCGACTTCCAACGAACCAATTGTCCACAGAGTGATTAGCAATGATGCAGAAGTTGCTTCTTCTGAACATCAAGAAGATTTGGAGACAAGAAAGCGAAAAGTGGATCTAGATGTCGTCGAGGAAGATGTCGTCGAGAAGAGAGTGCGGTTGGAGGAAAAAGCTCTGGTTGCTCGAGAAAGCTCTGAAGATTCTGGATCTTCGGTAGACGATCGTGAGTCGCCATTGAAAGAAGATTCCCCTGAACTTCTCGATTCTCCACTTCCTCAACCAGAAAATCGAGAACGACCACGACAAGAAGCTCCGCAAGTTTCACAATCTGACCAAGAAGTGGCATCAACTGAACCTGATGAGGATAAAATTCTTGACTTCCTGGATATTTGGTGTGAACAACGCTTGGTTCTCGATAAGACTACAGATATACTAAATTCTTTAAATTTGTATTCTTTTAATAAAAAGGTCATTTTATCTCATGATTCATGCTCCCACAGATTCCATCCCCCGCACATTCCTGTCTAAAAGCTTTCTTGTCTCCTCCTCTATAGTTCTATATAAAAGCGAGCCATGCAAGCTCTTTCTTTATCTTTTTATCTTCTTTATCTTTCTTATCTTTATTCTTTTATCTTTTGTTATATTTCGTTATATCTTTAGTTATTAAAGGTTTAATTACCCAAGTTTGAGATATACGGAATTATCATCGAGACGAGTAAAGCATTCTACCACACACTAGCTGGAATTGCCATAGGACAAGGACAGCTACACACCCGAGACACCACTTGCATTTTAGTTTAACAGAGAATGATGTGCATAAGCTCAAATTTGACGATATTTGGGTGGCGTTCTATTAGAGTGTTTACGGTATTCAGAATCAGAATTTTTTAGGCTTTCTAATAATATAGGTCACGAAGTGTAACTCGGAGACTCCAGATAGGTCCCTAGATAGTACTATTTTCATATTAGTTCTATATACTAACAACTTGTTTCTTATTCAGTCTCAAATTTAATATTCTCTCAGTCATACCAATCTCATTGTAGTGGAATTTCGATTGCAAAAGGTAGCTGTCGGCGGATACTGAAGAGCATGGAAATCTCTTCAAATCACTCTTCATCATTTCCTCTCATATGGAATTTTGGCATTTTGAGAAAACCAATCAAACCAAGAGTCGAGGAAATCCGTCAGACATCAATCAACAATATATTTTCAACCAACAATTTGCCCATTTTTTTAAAGGTGGGGAGACATGAAAAAAAATAATGTTCTCGAAATTCCGTTTAAATATGCCCCTCGAGGAGTTGAACTTGTGAGGGCGATGATTGAGGGTGCGGCGCCGCTACCGACTGAGCCACGCGGGCAAAGAGAAAGCGCACGCCCGATTGCATACATAAAGGCGAGGACGACAGCTGTACGCAGAGTGACATTAAGCGTTGTACACCGTCACGGTAGAATGCATACTCTAGCTACAAAAAAACTACGAAAAATCTCCTGTCCCCCCACCTTTAAAATAAATAATTCCGTTTGAAAAATTGCCTGATTTAAATTCAAAAAACTGGAAAAAAAAGAAAATTTATAAAAAAGAATAAAAGAGGAAAGAAAATGCTCTAATGACCTGGTGGCCTAATTTTCCCAACATGAATTTTCTAGGCCACCAAACTTTTTGACCTGAAAATGATCTGATGTTAACATGGGGCGTTTTTAAGCCATTTAAAATGGTGACCTAACTTTTGCAATATGAGTTTTCTAGGCCACCAACGATCTAAAAGCCTGCTGCTGTCAGAAGTTCAGAAAAAGATTTGTTATTATCCACTATTATTCATGTCTAGGTTAAGAAATATCAATTTTATGTCACCATGTCCCTTTTTGTCTATTTATTCTCTTTTTCATTCTTTTTCTTTTTATTCTTCCACGTATTTTTTACGTAATAAATACAATACAATTCATGTTGGAAAAATTAGGCCACCAGGTCAGATGGCCTAGAAAAAAAATATGAGATACGATTTTTACAAGTAATTTCGGCGGTTAATCGCAATTTTTTGTCGATAATTTGTCGACAATTTATCGACAAATTTATCGATAATTTGTCAGGTAAATTTTTCGATAAAATCAGGAAATCTCTAGAATCTGTTTTTTTTTCATCGAAAAACCGAGCTTAATTGCGAAAGTAGCTCAAACGAGGCGAAAGTCTGAAATATTACGATTTCGCCGCGCTTCTTCGTAAATCAAAAAAAAAAGAAAGCGACGGTTTCCAAATTCTCAGGTCCCACTTTTTTGTTTAAAGTCGAATATAGTCTACCCAACCGTTTGTTTCAGCTTGAAGAAGCAGCCTCATCGGCAAGATATCGATGCTGAACGGATTGTGATAGAAGGACTCAGTGGGACACTCCTTCATGATTTCGTCGTTAAGTTAGTAATTGATTGGGATTATTCCTATTAAAGGTGGGGGGACAGGAGATTTTTCGTAGTTTTTTTGTAGCTAGAGTATGCATTCTACCGTCACGGTGTACAACGCTTAATGTCACTCTGCGTACAGCTGTCGTCCTCGCCTTTATGTATGCAATCAGCGCCCGCTTTAGTTTCGCCCGCATGGCTCAGTCGGTAGCGGCGCCGCACCTTCAATACTCGCCTCGACAAGTTCAACTCCTCGAGGGGCATCTTTGAACGGAATTTCGAGAACATTATTTTTTTCATGTCCCCCCACCTTTAAGGCTTCCATTCGGTCGGGAAATTTAGCCGACCGACCGACCACCGAGCCCGCCGACCGACAGCCGACCGTTTTCGTGCATTTGCGCGTCAACGTGCTTGCATACGCTGCATTGTATTATACGACAAACTACTCACTAAATGCCTCGTTTGTCGTAAAATAAAATGTTTCGTAGGCAAAAATTCGTGTTTTGAAGCGCAAAGGCACGAAATCGGTCGGCGCGCCGACCGATCGGTCAGCTCAGTCGGCTGTCGGTCAGCTCGGTCGGTGGTCGGTCGGGGGTCGGCGATTTTCGACCGACCGAAATGGATGCCTTAATTCCTATGAAATAATTCACTTCGTTTTCCAGAATCATATCATTGATGAATGCATGACCGCTACTGAGACCTTTAACGATTGTATGGAAATGATGCCCGAAAATTCTGAATTTCGACAATGTTATAACCAACCAAAAATCCCAATGAAGTTATTTCATTCGAATGATTTGTTCATTTAAATTTAAAATTAGAAGGAAAAAAACATTTTAAAATAATGATTAATGATAAGAAAAAAAGGAAAGCTCTAATGCAAATTCGCCTTTTTGGGCGGTTTTCGACGACACTACCGTAATGTTGGGCTTACTGTAGAGCGCAGAACTTCATTTACACGTATTTACGAAACAAACGAAAAGCACAAACTATGAAAGGACCGAGAGAGAGAGAGAGAGAGAGAGAGAGAGAGAGAGAGAGAGATGAGAAATCAGTTAGGGAGATGATAATGGAGATGATGATGATGATGAAATGGATTTTAAAGGGACATCCAGACATTTAACGAAAAAGGGGCGGAGCTTAATTTAAAATAGTTAAAAACTGATGGATTTCAAAGGGTCCAGAGACAGTCAAGAAAATCAATTTTATTTGAATTTTAAAAAGGGCGGAGCCTATGGGAACATAGGGGGCGGAGTCAAAAAGTTAAAATAGTCAAGAAAATTGAAATAATCGGGGGAAAATTCAGTGTGGGGGGAACTTTTGGAAATGGTAAAAATATTGAAAAATCGAGTGTTGAAGATTCAGAAGGCGTCACGATTCACTGACTGGCAGATGGCTGAAAAATCGATTTTTTTGACTTAAAAATTCCAGGTTTTTGGCTCAAAATTAATTAATTTTCAGTGATTTTTGGGCCTAAAATTCCAGATTTCCAGGTTTTTCAAATTTTCAAAAATCTCAAAATTGCTTACAAAGAATCGCTGAATGAGTTGTCGCTCCAATTGAAGTGTCCGCGTGCGACGAGCTCCGTGAGCAGACGACCCATCACTTGCGAGTCGGCGTTGTAGCCCCAGTCGGTCTCGGCCTGCAACTGTTTCATTTGTTAGTGGGTGTGGCTACAGTAATCCAAGCTACAGTAATCCTACAGTAATCCAAGCTACAGTAATCTTTTGAAGTAACATTTTACAGTAATACCGATTCCTGTATTCTACAGCAATCCCCCCTTGCTCACCTATTTAGACAAGTTACAGTAATCCTGTTCAAATCTACAGTAACCCTACAGTAAATCTCAAGTACAGTAATCTAGGATACAGTAACCCACGGTCTGATATACAGTAATCGAACCAAACTTCAGTACTGAATCCGCAAAGCTACAGTAATCAGAGAGTGCAATATTCCAAGAGACAGCAAACCAGACTACAGTAACCCAATAAACTGTCACATCTACAGTAATCCTCAGAAAGTAACAGAATCCCATCTTACAGGAGGTATCTCTACAGTAATCAAATCGAACTTCAATCCTAAACTTTCGGAGCTAGAGTTGTCTAAAAGTACAGTAACCCAAACAACAGAGAGATCTTCAGTAATTCAATATACAAACTACAGTAATCCTCAAGAAGTTACAGTAGCCAATTTTGAAAAATACAGAAATCTTGCTGGCTTACCGTAATCCTAGACAAATCTGCAGTAATCCATTGGAAACTACAGTAATCTTCCTGGCCTACAGTAATCTTCCTGGCCTACAGTAATCCTAGATTTGTCTACAGTACCCTTAAAATCTATCGTCAAGTTACCATAATCCTAGTTAGAACTACAGTAATCCAGTCTAGTCTGGCCTACAGTAATCCATTCAAAACTACAGTAACCCCGGATTGCTCACCTTGACACCAGTGCCAGCGCACTGAGCAACGATATTGTTGACGAGTTGAGCGGTCGCTGGAATCGGATTGCGCTTCACAGCCTCGACGCGACGCACAATGTTTTCTGGAATAGACAACGTTAGATGACCTAGCTTTGGTGGCCTAGGAAACCCCCACGGCCTAGGAATCTCAAGACGTTTGCCCTAGAAACCTTTTGCCACCATGGCCTAACGTTTTTGGCCTAGAAAACTCCTAGATGACCTAGAAAACCCACTGCTCCCCCTAGAGCTTCCTGTGACCTAGAAAAGACCCCATGGACTAGGTTTGATGGCCTAGGAAACCCCCAAAAACCACCTACCAGCCACTTCGAGGGCTCTCTCCATCGCCTTGGAACTCATTCCGCACGCCTTGAGCGGTGCCGATAGTTGAAGAAGCACACGGGCGGTGTCCTCTTGGAAGCGACTCTCGAAATCGATATCCAGCTGATCGATGCGATCGATCGATTGCTTCAACTGGGTCTCTTCGGATGGGTGGACGATCTGGAAAATCGATTATCGATTGATTTTCAAAGAAACCGAAGAGCTAGGTGGCCTAGTTTTGGTGGCCTAGAAACCCCCCTTATTACACTACTAATGGCCTAGAAAACGCCTATGGTTATAGATGCCCTAACTTTCTCAAATCGTGGCCTAAAAACCCAAAAATGCCTACTGGGAGAGAAAAAAAGCTGGATTGTTTATTTTTGGTGGCCTAGGAAACCCCTCATGGCCTAGAAAATACATTTGTCATTTTTCTGGGCCATTTGTAGCTAATTCAGACCATTTTAGGCCATTTTTGATCGAATTTTGGCTCATTTTTGACCAATTGTTTTTGGTGGCCTAGGAAACCATCTCATAACCTAGGAATCGCATTTTTCAGTTTTCTGAGTCATTTTCAGCCCATTTCTGATAGATTTTCAGCGTTGTTTGGCTCATTTTGGTCCATTTTTCACAATTTTTCTTCAATTTTTCTCACCTGAATCTCCTCATCGTCCTCCTCATCGTCGTCGTCGTCATCAGCGGCATCTTCCAAATCGGCGTCATCTGAATCCGAGGATTTCGAGTTGTACTCCTCCTCTTCGCCATCCAACGATCCCAAATCATCTTCCTCATCACCCACATTCACATTGTCTGGTGCCATACGTGCCACGTCGTCGAACTCGGCGCCGAACGAGTTTGTGTGGATATGGAGGAAGGGTTTCGGGTTGAAGCCGTCGAATTTGGACCATTTCTGAAGGAAAATAGGGGTAATTTTGGAATTTTTTTAGTCAAAAAGGCGACAAAAAATCGCAGAAAAATGACTGAAAAGTTGGCTGAAAATCCAGAATTATCAGTCAAAATGGAGCTACAGTAATCCCTTTTTTGAGTGATAAAATTAGAGCTCTACAGTAACCACGTGTACAGCAACCTAAAACTACAGTAATCCCATTTAGTAGTGTGTCATATCTACAGTGATCCATGGTACAGTAACCCAGACTACAGTGTTCTTTTGTGTAGTTGTAGTAGTTCTACTGTAATCTACGCTACAGTAATCCCATCGCGTAGTGGTCAATTCTACAGTTATCTGAAAGTACAGTAACCGAGTATACGGTAACCTAGACAAGAGTAACCCAAGCTATGGAGGGATCGACAGTAATCCTCAAAAAGTTACAGTAACCCATTGGAAAAATACAGTCCCTATTCGGCTACAGTATTCCTCATCTTCCTGGTCTACCACAATCCGCTTCTACAATAACCCTAGATGAATTTACAGTAATCCATTCATAGCTATAGTAGTCCAAAGGTACAGTAACCCAAGAAACATTAATATTTACAACAATCCAAAACTACAGTAATCTCAACTTCCAGGCGATTATTTCTACAGTAATCTGAAGGTACAGTAGCCCAAACTACAGAGGGATGTACAGTAATCCAATGCAAAAATTCTATCATCATGCTCAATACAGTGTTCCTAGTCTAACTAGTCTACAGTAATCCATTCAAAGCTACAGTAACCTCCGGTTGCTCACCTTGACACCAGTTCCTATCCAAACTACAGTAATTAAATTTTAACTGTTCCTATAGTCTACAGTAATCCTAAATTCAGAGGATATTTTAGGAATTTTCAGACAAAATTTACAGCCAAATTATTTCAGATTAAAAAAAAAATTCATAGAATTTCAGATATACAATTTTCAGCCATTTTCAGCATTCTCACCTGAATCAAGAGCTTCGCAACGGGTGGCGTGAGCTCATTTCCACACAAATACACATTCTTGAGATGACGATGAAGTTGTGGATTCAGATGATCGATGATATAGTTACATCCGGCGTCGCGAATCAAACAATCCGACAGATTCAGCACTTCCAGCTTCGGCCATGATTCGAGAGCTCGTGCGAGTGCTTTGGCTCCTTTCGGGAGTACGGTATTGTCCTCCAACCACAAATGACGCAGGTTTCTGTTGTGTTTGAGTGCGGAGACGAGTGCTCGAATGCCTTCTTCGTGGATTCCGTTTTGACGAACGTCGAACCACTCGACCGTTTCCAGCGACTGCAAAAAAACGAGAATTTAGGCCATTTTAGGCCAATTTTCAGCTATTTTTGGGTTATTTTTGGTCCCAAATATGAATTATGTCGAAAAAGAGTCATTTTTCGTCAATTTTTTCCAACAAAAAAAAACTAACCTTGAATGTAGCAGCCAACGCATGAGCTCCGGGATTCTCCAGTCGATTTCGTCCGGCGATGAACGTCTTCAGACGAAGACGATTCTCGCCACCGACGGCGATAGACTTGCGAAGACACTCGGCAAGCGATTTGGCGATTTGTTTTCCGCCAATTCCCAATCCGTTGTTGTTGAGTTTCAGCGTTTCCAGAGTGTACGCGGAGGGCGACTCGAGCAATTCCTAGAAAAATAGGTTTTAGATTTTTAAAGTGGATTTTTCAGTTAGAAACCTTAATCGCATCGGCTCCAATCGGTCCGAAAGCGTTATCCGACAGATCGAGCTCTCGAATCTTGGCTCCAGCGGCGATGATTCCCTTTCCAAGAGCCTCTAGAACCGGTGGAATCTCGTTTTTGAGCCGTCCCGTGAACAGATCACTCCACAGGCACTTCTCGAGTTCTGGATGCGATTCGAGAGCTCTGGCGATGAGCACTCCGGCGTCGATGCCCAATGTGTTGCCGCGCAGCTCCAGGGTTTTCATTGATCTCGTGGCGGTGATGATCTGAAAGAAATGGGGGATTTTAGAGGGTGATTTTGACACATTTTCTGGAATTTTCTAGAGCATTTTGGGTCATTTTTGAGCCAAAACGGCCGAAAATCATTTTTCAGTTCATTCGGGGACCATTTTACTGGATGTTTCGGAGCATTTTTTGGTCCATTTCAGGTCGTTTTGAGGATATTTTGATTCGTATTTAGGTCATTTTCAGTGCATTTTGGTGCCGAAACTCCAAACATTTTCTGGTCTAGATCATTTTAGGACCACATTTAAAGATTCCTTCTGGAACTTTCTGGAATTTTCTGAAGCATTCTCAATATCCCATATCATTCAGATCACTAAAAATGGTCCAAAATCGAGCTTTAATACCAAATTTGGACGTTTGGGTGCACAAAAATGGTCTGGAATGGGTCTAAAAAAGTCTCGAAAATTACCCAAAAATGAACCTGGAAATGCCCAAAAATATATCTAAAAATGTCCCGAAAATTCCAGAATAAATTGGTCTAAATAGACCTAAAAATGGTCCCAAAATGATCTGAAAATCGAAAATAGGGCGTTTGGACACAAAAACGACCCAAAATAGACCTCAATGTGTCCCGAATTCTGGAACTTTCGGGGCATAAATGGTCCATTTTGGGTCACAAAAATGAGCCTAAAACGCCTTGTAAGCTCCAGATGATCGAAAAATACATGAAAATGATCCAGAAATCACCTAGGATAGAAATTTTAGCCGTTTATGATCAAAAATACACTTTTAAATGACCCTGAAATTACCCCACATCGACCTTAAAATGACCGCTACCGTACCTTAACGACCTTCTCGGCACTCTGAGCGGTATCCAACTTCAGACCCTTATCCAAGAAGGACACTCTATCAGTGCTAGCCGTCTCCACTGGATCCCCAATTCGAATGCATCCGAATCCCTTGGTGACCAGCTCATTTAGCATCTGTTGAGCCTTGTCTGATTCCTCAGCTGATCGTTCAATGATCGTATCCCTCGATGTATTCATTGCGTCCTCCTCCATACTCGCATCGTCCGCCTCCATTTCCTCGCCATCTGAAGACAGAAGTTCATCGTCGCCACGTCTTCCGAAATCAATGTTTCCCTTGCCGTAGCGAGCTTTGGCAGCGTCGAAATCCTCACCGAACATGTTCACCGAGATGTCCACTTTGCTGAAAAAAGGAATCTAGTTTCAGACAATTTTCAGACTTTGTGTGGGCTTTTTAGGGCAGGAAAAGCGATTTTGGGGGTCAAAATTCTGGATTTTCACGACGAAAATTACAATTTCTAGGTCTGAAATTGGCGATTTTTAGGATGGAAAATTGAGATTTTCAAATCTGAAAATGAGGATTTTTGGGGGATTTTCTAGTTTAGAGATTGGTGTTTCAGGTCCGGTACCCCAAATTTTTGGGGGCAAAATTCTGGATTTTCACGACGAAAATTACAATTTCTCGGTCTGAAATTGGCTATTTTTAGGGCGGGAAATTCGGATTTTTAGGTCTGAAAATGAGGATTTTTAAACAAAATTGTAGTTTCAGACAATTTTCAGACTTTGTGGGGATTTTTTGGGCAGGAAAAGCGATTTTGGGGGTCAAAATTCTGGATTTTCACGACGAAAATTACTATTTCTAGGGCTGAAATTGGGATTTTTAGGTCTGAAAATAAGGATTTTTTGGGGAATTTAAAGATCGAAAATTCGAATTTTCCGGCCAGAAATTTGTATTTTTAGGGAATTTCAAGATTAATTATAGGCTAATTTTAGGCCTTTTTTAGGCTATGTGTGGTCAATTTTTATGCTATTTTCAAGCTAATTTGGGACTAATTTTTGTCATTTTCTGACGAATTTCAGCCTATTTTCAGCCAAAATTCCAGCCAAACTACTCACACATGCGCCATTCCAGCGGAATTGAAGAAATCGCCAATCTCCTCAATGATATCGGCTGTGATATTGTTTCCACTCAACACCACCTTCTTCAAACAGTCCCTCTTTCGATCCAGACCACTTAGAATTCCAACGACGCCGTCGTCATCACAAACGCAGTCTCCCAGATCGAGAATCTCCAAATGATGGAGGTCCGGGAGGATTTCAGCGAGTTCCAGAGCTCCTTGGGTGCCGCAAATGTTGTCGTTGAGATCGATGATGCGCAGATTCTTGTTCGCCTGGAAATTCGGGTTTTTCGGGGATTTTTATGTCCGAAAATTGGGAATTGTGGGTTTGAAAATTCGAGATTTTCAGGACCGAAAATTTTGATTTTTAGTTGAAAATTGAGATTTTCAAGACGGAAATTCAAGTTTTTTTTCAATCAAAATTTCCAAATTTTAGGAGATAAATTACCATTTTAAAGTCTGAAAATCTGGATTTTCAGCCAAAAATTAACGGGGTTTAGGTTGAAAATTGTGTGGATTTTTGAGATTTCGAGGCCAGAAATTCCATTTTTGGGGTCCAAAGTGGGCGGTTTTAAGAAAGAAATTTAAGATTTTCAAGTCCAAATTTGAAATTTTTCGGACGAAAATTGTCATTTCTACGACTGAAAATCGAGATTTTTGAGTCTAAAAATCGGATTTTTGGTCAAAAATTTGAGATTTCAAGACGAAATTCGAGATTCTTAGTTGAAAATTGAGATTTTCAAGACGAAAATTACCATTTTCGGGACCGAAAAACTCAATTTTTAAATCAAAAATGTGAATTTAAAGACGAAATTCGACATTTCAGGTCAGAAAATCAGGATTTAAGCTGAAATTTTGGATTTCTAGTTGAAAATTCATTGGTTTTTGTCATTGGTTTTTGAAGACGTTTCATTGGTTTTTCATTGGTTTTTGAAGACGTTTCATTGGTTTTTCATTGGTTTTTGAAGACGGAAAATTATTATTTTTGGTCGAAAATTTGGGATTTTTAGCCGAAATTCAGATTTCTGTCTAAAAATTACCATTTTTCAGTTAAAATTTCGGATTTTTCGTAACTGAAAATCAATTTTCAGGTCAGAAATCCCAATTTTCTGATCAGGAATCGGGATTTTTAAGACGAAAATCACCATTTCTAGATCTGAAAAGTCAAATTTCAGGTTGAAAAATTGATTTTAAGATCAACTTTTCCGATTTTTAGATTGAAAATCAGATTTTGGACTGAAAAATTGAGATTTTTGGGTCAAAATTTCAAATTTTGCGACTAAAATTCGAGATTTTCAGGCCAGAAAATCACGATTTTCGGGCCAAATTTTCAGCATTTCCACTCTAAACCCCCTCTTCTCACCTGCAACGCGACAGCCAATGCACCAAACGCTGGCTCGCGAATTCCATTCTGGGGAAGACGTATCTCTTCAAGTGTCTGCATTAGGATGAAGGCGTCAGAGAGAGCAATCGTGGAGACCACTTCCAGCCGATTTCGACCGCACACGAACTTTTTGAGTTTCAGCGGTCGGCCGGCCTTCTGGGATGCTGAGATCAGAGAGCACAGAGCATTGCCAACGACTTCACCAGCCAATCCAAGACCATTGTTGTTGAGAATCAGATTTTCCAGGGAGTAGAGAGCTGGGGACTGGAAAATGGAGGAAATTTTGAGGAAAAAAGGTTTTCAGTGTGTCCGGATCAGTAATTTTCAGCCATGTTTAGAGCTCATTTTCAGACATTTTTAAGCCAAAAACTTAGGATGAATTTTCGACCATTTTCAGTAATTTTTCGACAATTTTTCCTCTGAAATTTTGCTGAAAATAATCAAAAAATGACTGAAAATGACAAGAAAAAAAAGTCATTTTTGACCATTTTCAGTCCATTTTCTAGACAACTTTCAGTCAATTTTCAACGGTTTTGAACAATTTTTTGTGAATTTCTGGCTATTTTGAGTCAATTTTCAATCAATTCCAATGAATTTTTCAGTGATTTCAGTCATTTTGAACCATTTTTCCTCTGAAAATTCGCTGAAAATGCTGAAAAAGTGGTTGAAAACAACGGTCAAAAAACGCTTCAATTTGGCTGAAAAGTACCGAGAAAAACCACTTTTTCAGCCAATTTTCAGTCATTTTCTGGTCCTTTTCAGCCAATTTTCAAGCATTTTCATTCATTTTTTTTTGGGTATTTTTAGACCTTTTTCGACTGTTTTCGATTATTTTGAGCTAGTTTTAAAGCATTTTCAGTCTTTTGTGGACTAATTTCAGTCAATTTTCAAGCATTTTCAGCCGCATTTTAACCATTTTAACCCATTTTTTAACCCCAATCCCTTACCTGCAAGAAATTGGACAACGAATCCGACAGCCCAGCTCCAAATGCGTTATCCGAAAGGTCCAGCGTGGTCAGCTGACATCCAGAAGCGGTGAGAGCCTCCTCGAGCGCATCCAAAACCAATGGGATCTCGTCTTTGAGTCTTCCCGTGAACATATCACTCCAAATGCACTCTTTCAGCTCTCTTCTCGTCCTCAGAGCGTCGGCGATTCGTCTTCCAGCCAGCACGCTGATCGTGTTTCCACGGAAGTCGAGAATCTCCAGATTCGGATGCGCGCGGATTTGGTTGACGACGATGGCGACTGAAACGACGGATTTCAATCAATTTGGGGTCATTTTAAGCATGTTTCAGCCAAAAATGAGTATTTTCAGACGGTTTTCAGTCATTTCTAGACGATTTTGAGCCAAAATTCCGAATTTTATGCTTATTTTAAGCCATTTTTTATCTAGTTTCCAGTTTTGTGGGATTATTTTCAGCCATTTTTGACCTATTTTAAGCCAATTTGCAGCCATTTTTGACCTATTTTAAGCCAATTTGCAGCCATTTTTGACCTATTTTAAGCCAATTTTCAGCCATTTTTGACCTATTTTAAGCCAATTTGCAGCCATTTTTGACCTATTTTAAGCCAATTTGCAGCCATTTTTGACCTATTTTAAGCCAATTTGCAGCCATTTTTGACCTATTTTAAGCCAATTTCCAGCCATTTTTGACCTATTTTTAGCCAATTTCCAGCCATTTTTGACCTATTTTTAGCCAATTTCCAGCCATTTTTGACCTATTTTTAGCCAATTTCCAGCCATTTTTGACCTATTTTTAGCCAATTTCCAGCCATTTTTGACCTATTTTTAGCTGATTTCGTACCATTTTTGGTTCATTTTTCCCCCACTAATTTGAGCGCCTAATTTTGAATACTTTCTTAACCTAGTTCTAGCTGGATTTTGGACCAAATTAGGTTAGTTTTTGGGGGACAAATTTTTCTTGAATTTTCAGCGCCAACTCCAGCCCATTTTAAGTCATTTTAGTCAATTTGGGTGTCTATTTTAGTTAATTTTTCCAAAATTTTCGGTTTCCTATTGGGTCCATCTTCACCTACCCACCATTTTAGCTAGGTGAAGGCGGCGACCATCTGCACCAAATCAAATCTAGAAAAAGTTGTCAAAATTGTGTCGAATGCCTCAAAAACCGCCTTCACACTGTCCTAGTAATTAGGGGGACCTAACCAAGGCCACGCCCCCTTATCCTATGGTCCATAGAACAACAAATCAGTCATTCTTCAAACCCTCTGTTTGTTATTTTGCCGTTTCTACAGTATTCTAATCTTATCTTATTCCAAAAAATCATGAATTTTCCAACTGAAATTCATCAAAATTCTGAAAATTTTGAAACTTTTGGCCAAATCCACAAGGTGAGTAATACTTTTTTTGCGATTTTCGGGTCCCAAAAGTCAATTTTCCAAAATTTCAGAGAACAAAAAATGGGATGGGGAGAGTCTATCTACACATATATATTGCATCCCGGAACTAGGTGATTCTAATTTGCCGTAAAACCTGTATTAGAAGGGCCGGCCCTTCTATTGTTCCATGGTACCTCCGGAGGGCACTTCTATTACAGGGGGCCCTTCTAATACAGGTTTTACGGTACTTTTTTTTCCTCTAATTTTCCCCTAATTTTGCAGCCAAACTACAAGACCCAACTGTGCAAGAATTGGGGACGGCTGGGAAGTGGGCACTGCCGATATGGCCCAAGATGCCAATTCATCCACCCAGAGGACCATGGGTATCTGGAACAGTACCCAGATACCTGGAACTTTGCCAGGGAGCAGGAGGCACATAGTCAATATGTGCAGGCGCTACATGTAAGTCTTTTTTTTAGGAAAAATCGAATTTTTGAAATTTGCAAAAAAAACCTGAAAATTGACCTAAAACGGTCTACAATGGCCAAAAAAACGGTCTGAAATTCATTTTTTAACGCCTCAAAACATCAAAAATTGCTAAAAATGACTTAGGAACATCCTAGGCCATAGCCACACGGCCACCAACCTTTGAGACTCATTTTTCGACCTTTTAATGAAACATTGATGCTGAAATACCGTATTTCAGCATCCTACGACTCCAAAAGAATGATGGCCGGGCGCCGTGGCCTAGGAAAATCCTAGGCCATTTTGGAGGTTTCTAGACTGTTCTGAGAGCCGATTTCTGGCTAAGCCACGGTCCAAAATAGGCTTACAATGATTCAAAATTCGCTAAAGATCCACTAAAATGGTCTGAAATTTGCTTGAAATGAACCGAAATATGCCAAAATTTTCAGCCATTTTCAGACCATTTTAAGCCTATTCCCGACTACTTTAAGCCAATTTCTCCCTTTTTTCAGGCTCAAAAAACCTTCAACCCATTCTACGAGCACCAGATCGACAGGAAGGTCCGGGAATGGAACGCCGTCCATCCAAAAGGACTCAACTACTACGACTTCCATGGCCTCACCACAAAATTGGCCGATTTCTACATTATTGACATATATGAAATCCGCAAAAATCCAAAAGTCCTGGATTGAAACTGGCCGCGGGAACCATTCCAAAGCCAATTTCGCCGCTATTCGGTCCAATTTTTTGACCATCCCCCCAGACGTCTCTTTTGTTCCCGTTGCCGGTAATGATGGTATCCTGTGTCTTACTGTACTTTGAGCACTTTTTTTGTATCTATTTTTGTATTTTTTTTGTATTTTCTGTATTTTTTAAATAGATAATTATGATCTAAATAAAATAGTAAAATCCAACAAAAAAACGTGTTTTTCAGCATTTTTGACTAATTTCAGCTAGATAAACAGGGGGATTTTAGACAATAATTTCAGTTAACAATAGAGAAATTTCCAGGCAATTCCAGCCAAATTTATTAGTCAAAAATCGGGAATTTTCAGCTTAATTTCAGAATGATTTCGTAAAAATTGTCGATTTTTAGCGACATTTTCAGTCAAAAATTCAGCCTTTTTGCCTAAATTTCTTGTCGATTTCAGCCAAAAAAGTTGTTTTGTTTTTTTTATTTAGGCTGAAAATGTGGATTTTCAGTCGATTTCAGCTAAATTTACAGCCGAAATTTGGTATTTTCAGCTAGTTTCAGTCGATAATAATGGGGGTGTTTTGGGGTCATTTTCTGCCAATTTTCAGCTATTTCTTGTCAAAAATAGCGCATTTTTTTCAGTAATTTTTTTCTCTCAATTTTCAGCTAGTTTCAGTCAAAAAAGTTAAAAAGCTTTTCAAGCATTTTCTGAGTTTTTTTAGCACATTTCTAGTCCGTTCTTGAGCTATTTTAGGTCAAAATATCGAGTTTTCAGCCAATTTCAGACAATTTTCAGTCAATTTCCAGCCAAATTAAAGTCAAAAATACTCACTCTGCTCCTCGGTATCCATTTTGAGTTGTTGTCCGAAAAACGACAACGTATTGTTGTGTCGTTGGTGTTGTGGATTAGAAGACGATGTGGTGGCCATTTCGAATAGTAACCTCTGCAAAACTTGAAAATTCAAAAATCGAAAAAATTGCTTTTTGGCTCAAAAATTATTGAAATTTTCAGCAGAAAAAAAAAGATCAAATTTCGTGCTCGAATAACTGCGAAAATTGATTTTTTGGGGGTCAAAAATCTATTTTTTCAGCTTAAAAAGCTGAAAAATCCATCCGATTTTTGACTCAAAAATGGCAAAAATTCAAATTTTTCAAGATCAAAAACTCTCAAAATTTACATATTCTGAATTTTTAGAATTTTCAGAAGTCGGCGAAATTCCAGAATACACAGGTAGAATCGTCAGGAATAGTCTGGGCAGCATTTTTTGGGTTTTTTCGAATTTTTCGAAAAAATTCAACAGGCGGAACGAAGAGGAGGAGGAGGAGGAAGATGATGGCCGAAAACTAGATAAGAAAATTGAAAGAGAGAGAGAGAGAGAAAAGAGAAGAGACGCAGAGAAATTCAGAGTAATAATAACAATGAATACATGAAGACGAAGGTGTCTGTGTGATGATAACACAGTGATAAGAATAACAACACATTGATGTAACTGGTGGCCTAGAAATCTGGAAGAAAAAACTTCGGCCATGCAATTCTCCAATTTTAGGGAAAATTTTAGGTTTTGACATACTTGTAAAATTCCGGGCCGGCCCGCCAAAGCCCGGGCCCGGGCCTGAGGAAATTTTCAAGGCCAGGGCCCGCCAAATGTTGAGCTCTCAATATAATTTTCTCCATTTTTTATCGTTTTTTGGATTGTTTGTCTATTTGATCAAAAAATATCAAAAAAAAACTCGAAAAAAAATTTTTGATCGAAAAAATCCCATAAGGGTCCCCCCTTATGCGTTTTTTGAAATTTTCAAAACTTGTGAAATGACAGGCCCGCCGGGCCGGGCCTCCGAAATTCGGACAAAAGCCCGGCCCGTTACAAGTATGGTTTTTGATGAAAAACGTCTGAAAACGCCTCTAAAAATTGACATTATTTTGAAAAATTTTCAGTTTTTTTTTCGAAAATTCAAAATATCCAATTTTTTCAAAAAAAAAACATCTCTTTTTGGCTCTCTTTTTTTAAAACGAAAAATCTTAGAATTTTCAATTTTTCCGAAAAACTCAAAAATTTGGAATTTCGGCTATTTTTTAAAGGAAAAAATATCGAATTTTCGAAAAAAATCAAAATTTTCAGAGCTTCAAAAAATCGCTGAAATTTCTGAAATTTTTTTAAAAAGAAAACTAGTCTAGAAAATCGAAAATTTTCGAAAAGAGAAAACAAATATGTAGAGTGTAGAGTGAAAAATTGTGAAATTTCCAGAACTTTTTTCTCAAAAAAAAAAACATTTAAAAATCAGAAAAACCAGCAAAAAATTGGGTAAATATCAGGTGGTGATGGGTCCAATCACCACTGATAAAAGATAAACAACTTTTAAAAATAGTAGTGCAAAAAATAGAGAGGAGAGTAAGAGAATTAGAGAAAAAACGACTGAATTTTAGACATTTTCAAAAGGGGGACAAACTCAAATTCGAGCTTCAAAATGTTTTGGAAAATGCTAGAAAACTCAAAATAATATTTGAAATTTTTTTGTTATTTTTCGAAAATTTCAGCCATTTTTTTAATCAAAAATCTCTCAAAAAGCTTAAAATCGCCAAACTGATGCTGTGTTACAGCAATTTTTATAATAGTTTACACTCAATATTCCATATTTTTTGAACGAAAATTCCACAAAATTCAAAAATTCAAAAAAAAATCGAAAAATTCCAAAATTCTGAAAATTCAAAAAATGACATTTTTCGTAATTTTCAGAGTGGAATTTTGATTTTTTGAGTTTTCAAAGACAAGAAACAATGTCTTGAAAAGTTTAATAAATCTGCAAAACGAATGAATGAAAAAAAAAATAGAAGAAAAAAGAGCTCAAATTTCAGAGAGATAGGAGAGATTTAGAGAAAAAAAAGAAAAGAAAATCGAGAAAATCAACGATCTGGAATTCAAAAAAATTGGCAAAAATTATCAATTTTTGATGGGAAATGAGGTCTTTATGATGTGTGTGAAATTGACAAAAAAACCAGATTAAAACCTTTGAATTGATGATAAAGTGATGATAAATAAGTTATGAATTTTGGGAAAAATTTGGGGGAAAAAACAATTGAACAGGGAGAGAAAGAAAGAGAGAGAGAGATCAAAAAACGGGGCGGGAAAAATGTGAAAATTCCAGAAAAAATAGAGAAAAATCTAGAAAAAAATCCAGGAAAATTCAGAGAAAAACCAATTTTTTATAGAATTTCTAAAGATTTTTTTCGGGAAAATTCCAACAAAATAAATGAAAACTTCTATAAAAATAATCTGAAAATTATTGCATTTTTTCAGCATTTTCAGCAATTCTCAAACAATTTTTTCTAGAAAATTCCAACAAAAATAACAAAAATTAAGCCTTCATGGCGCCGCTCATCTTGTCCAACATGGCGATGACTCTGAGCTCTCTCTGCTCCAGAATCGGTGCGAATCCCTCGAGCACCGCCTGTCCAATCGATCCGTTCTCCTTCGGGTCCGGACGGAAATAGGCGAATTTCGGAAGACGTGCCTGATGTCCCAGCTGCTCGGCGACCCATTTAACGTGTCCTTTGATCCATGCCCTCTGGTTTACTGTAGTTTCGGATGTCGATTCTTCGAGAAGCGAATCCACGTTGGAAGGAAGGATTACAAGACGGGAGAGGGGCATCCATGCTGGGAATGGGTCTCCTTCTGGAAAATTATAGCCAGTTTCAGCAATTTTGATCGATTCTCGGGCTTTTAAAAGCAATTTTAGACTATTTTTAGAGTATTTTGAACCATTTTAGGCCAATTTTTGACCACGTAAAGCCTATTTGTAGCGAATTTCGAACCATTTAAAGCCTATTTTGGGTCATTCTTCACAGATTTTTAAAAAATTTTGGAAATTTTTCTTAAACTATTTTGAGCCTATTATGGACTATTTTGGATCATTTTTAGGCATTTTTCAGATATTCTAGACTGCTAACAGCCAATTTTAAGCCTATTTCAGTCTATTTCTAGCCTTTTTCTACATATTAAGCACTGTTATGGTGAATGTTAAGCCCATTTTCAGTTATATTTTTTGAGAAATTTCAGACTTTTTCGTTTTGGAATGAAATTTTGGAATTTTAAGGTCATTTTCGAGTCATTTTTAGCAATTTCAGACTGTTTTTCGTCTATGTTGGACAATTTGAAGCCCATGTTTCACCATTTTCAGTAATTTAAAACGAAATTAAGCATATTTTCAGCCCATTTTTACCCTTTTTAGCTTTTGTAAAGTCATTTTTTCTGCAATTTTGAGCTTATTATCAGCCTATTCTTCAGAGAATTTGGTGCTTTTCGAGCATTTTGAGTCGATTTCAAGCCTTTTCTAGTAGTTTCGCACCATTTTAAGAAGATTATTTTTAGCTTATTTTCAGCAATTTTCAGCCAATTTTAGTCAATTTTTGAGTCATTTTTGGACTAAAAAATGTCTATTTTTGACTATTTTCAGCTTTTTTTAAAGCCAATTTTTCAACGATTTCAGTCTATTTTCAGCCTAGGGGTGACTTCGCAATTTTAAACGATTTTTAGCTATTCTGGACCAATTTTTGAGTCACTTTTCAGAAATTTTGAACGATTTTTAGCCATTTTCAGCCTTTTCGAGACATTTTCAGCTAATTTGAAACCATTTTCAGAAAATTTCCAGGATTTTCAGCGTTTTTCAACCCATTTTAAGCTATCTTTCGGCCGTTTTTGAGCATTTTTCAAATTTTTCAAAAAAATTTTCTCAGAAAAAATGTTCCAAATTTTCAAAAATAGAGCTTTAATTAGTTGAGAATTGATTTGCTCAGAGTCGATGAAAATTGTTTTTTCTAAGGCTTCCATTCGGTCGGGAAGTTTAGCCGACCGACCGACCACCGACCTCGCCGCCCGACAGCCGACCGAACTGACCGATCGGTCGGCGCGCCGACCGTTTTCGTGCATTTGCGCGTCAACGTGTTTGCATACGCTGCATTGTATTTTACGACAAACTACTCACTAAATGTCTCGTTTGTCGTAACATAAAGTGCTTCGTACGCAAAAATTCGTGTTTTTATGCGCAAAGGCACGAAATCGGTCAGCTCGGTCGGTTGTCGGTCGGCTGGGTCGGTGGTCGGCGATTTTCGACCGACCGAAATGGAAGCCTTAGTTTTTTCTAGCCATTTTTCAGAAATTTTGAACATAGCTAGCTAGATTTTAGCCCAATTTGGACCATTTCTTTTGCGATTTTGAACGATCCCAAACTGGTTTTCAGCCTATTTTTCCATTTCAAGCATACTTCCAGCAATTCCAACCCATTTCAAGACACAACCAACTCACTATCCGCCGGATACATGCTCGTCAACCAATCGCAAAACTTCCCGAACATTGTATTCTTCTCGACGTCATCCTTGCTTCTAACCCGACTCCATTCATCGTAATCAATCACCGATAGCCACGTCTTCTCGATTTTCTCTTTTAGCTCCACAGAATCCGGATGGACCACTAAGAGATCGGCGAGGAGGTGGAACGCACGGGCGTAGCCGTCTACAGTAGCCTCGTCTGACGTTTGGAGAGACATATTCCATTCGAGCATCTCTTCCACTGACATCATCGCGTCGAAGTCGTTGCCGTAGCCAGTCTGGAAATTGGGATTGGGAGGTTAGGAGAGGGTTGAAGAAGATCAGAATCTAAGAATCCGAGAATCTGAAGATCAGAAGATCCAAAGATTCTTGGATGAGAAGATCAGAAAATAAGAATCCAGGATACTTGAGATTCTAAGATCCAAGGGTTCAAAAATCGGTAAATCTAAAGATCTGAGGGTTCGAGGATCAGAATATCAAAACTTGAGAATCCAGGAATCTTCAGATTCTAAGATCCCAGAATCCAGGAATCCCAAGACCCCAAGATTCGAGGATCAGAAGATCTGAGGCTTCGAAAATCCCAAGATCAGAACCTGATAATCCAGGAATCCAAAATTCTAGGAATCCAGGATCTCGGAAATCTAATACCTGAGGATTCGAAGATCCGAGGATCTCAGGCTTCGATAATCGGTGTTCAGAAGATTCAAGGATCCGATGAAGCCTCGCAAATTCCAAAAATCGGAGACTTCGTAGAAGATAGGTATTTCAGAGAATCCGAACCATTTTCAACCATTTCCAGCCTAATTTTCAGCCTAAAATCCCTCAAAACCCCTCCCACCTTCAATATCTCTGGTGGAATTCGATTGCGATGCTTCATCTCAGGATATCGTCGTTTATAGAAGTCGAAAACCTCGGAAACGTCCGTCCCGTCTTGACAAATCGACGCACAATAATAGGCACGAGTCAGGAAATCCGAGAATTTCGAAAAACTTTTCGATTCCGCTTCAGCCAAACTCATTAGCGTTAGAGCCGCTTTTCCGAACTGCTTGTTGGCGATTTCTCGTCCGTAACGAAGTTCCTGGAATAATTTGAGTTGGGAAAGAGTGAGAAAATTGGCTTAGAATGGCCCAAAATTGGTGCAAAATGGTCAAAAACAGTCCAAAATAGGCTCAAAATCGTCCAAAATTTGCAAAAAATGGTCAAAAACTCATGAAAAATTGATCCTAAATAGATCTAAATTAGTCAAAAACAGGCTTAAAATAGTTAAAAATTCACTAATTTTTTTAAAGCGAATTTTGAATCTTTTTTATTTGATTTCAGATCATTTTAGGCCGTTTTGGGGCATGTTTTGGATCGATTTTAGTGGATTTTTAGTCATTTTTAGAAGAATTTGGACCATTTTGAGTTATTTTTAGCGAATTTTGGACCGGTTTTGGCCTGTTTCATGAATTTTTAGTGATTTTGAGCCTATTTTGAGGAGATTCGGGCCTGTTCAGGACTGTTTTCGACTATGTTAGGCTTATTTTTGATCATTTTTGACCTATTTCGGACTATTTTAGATTATTTTAGGCTTATTTTCAACCTGTTCAGGCCCATTTTGAATCATTTTCAGCGGATTTTTGACCATTTTAACCGGTTTTCAGCCATTTCCAGCCCCCAAATCTACCTTAAAATTGTCCAAATAGGCATCAACTCTGCGTCCACCCTGTTGCAACAACACATCATTCCGTCCGTTTCGTTTCAAATAGTCACACAAGTACATCTCGAAATCGTCGTTCTCATACGTCTTCTTGTACCTCTCGAACGTCTTCTGTCTCGTGTGAATTTCGGTATTCAGGAAGTTCTTGATCAACGTTCCAAAGTCCTTGTGCCGCTCGGCCAGCTCAATCGCGTCGCCCACTTTACCCATTGCAATCAGGTCTTGGAGTATCTTATCGTTGTCAGGACGACCGTCCATTTCCGATAGGTAGAAGTCGTAGATGCTGGAAAAGAGAAAATGTGCAATTCGTGGCCTAGAATACCAGGTTTTACCCCAAAATGTACATAAAGAGCCGTGTTCTTTCACTATCCGACGCTTGTCCATCACGGAGTTCTTCCAGAATTCGCTCAGCAACCAGACGATAGCACGGAGCAAACGTTTCGGCGGTCCACCACAACGGTAGACGTGGCACCGGGATTCGGGTTCTGCAACTTTGGGAAAGGGGTTGGAAATCTGTGTTTGGGCTATTTTTTGAGCAAAATTCTATAAAAATAGGCTTAAAATAGTTAAAAATGGGCTCGAAATGGTCCAAATTCGTGAAAAATAGTACCGAAAATAGTAATTTTTGAGTCAAATTCAGCTGAATTCCGGGCTATTTTTCCGGGTCAGCCTACTTGAGACAGCTTTTAAGTGATTTTTGAACCATTTCCAGAAAATTTTGAACAATTTTGAGCGCCAAAATCCACTGAAAATGGTACCAGGAATGACCAAAAATGGTACCGAAATCCAATCAAAATGGTGCCGAAATTTGTCAATAATGGTACCGAAATCATCAAAAATAGTATCAGCTATTTTTAGTGAATATCACATTTCGGACCATTTTTATAAAATTTCGGTACCATTATTAATGAAGTTTGGTACCATTTTTCGTGGAATTTGGTATCATTTTCAATAAATTATGGTACCATTTTTTCGTGGATTTTGGACCATTTTTAAAATATTTGTGGGTTTTGGACCACTTTTCATGAATTTGGTACTATTTTCAGTGGATTTCAGACCATTTTAGATGGATTTTGGACTCTTTTAAGCTTATTTTAGATCATTTTCAATGAATTTCAAACTGAAAAACTTACTTTCTCCATGTGAAAATGGCGTCTCTGACTCCAGTAAGCAGATCACACACCGAGTGGAACACTTCCATTCGATGCGCCTTCGCCTTTGTCAATATCTCCTTATCCAACTGTTGAGCAGCAATCATTGGGATGTGATGGACCAGACCACACCGTCCAAACAGGGCGTCCTTGTCTTTCAGTCCCAAATCTTGCACTTCTGGAATTCGCAACGCCTTCTCAATGATCACGTCGAAAATCGCCGCGTTCGATTCGTCGGAACACTTCCAGGTCCAGATGGCTGAGGTGGCAGATACGCGTTCACTGATCTGGAAATCGGAGAAATCGGCTTAAAATGAGCTTAAAATAGTCTAAAATAGGCTCAAAATGACCCTAAATAGGCTTATAATAGCCAAAATTAGCTTTAAATGGTCCAAAATCCATTAAAAATGGTACCATTTTAGTGGGTTTTCGTACCATTTTAGCAAATTCTGGTACCATTTCTAGTTGATTTTGGTACTATTTCAGTGATTTTCGGTACCATTTCTAGCTAATTCAGGAGCCATATTTATGGATTTCGGAACCATTTTAGTAGATTTCGGTACCGTTTTTAATAGATTTTGGTACCATTTTAGTGAAATTCGGTACCACTTTAGTGGATTTTGGAACCATTAAAGCGAGATTTCGGTACCATTTTTGGCAATTTCGGTACTATTTTAAGCTGAATTTGGTACCATTTTCAGTGAACTTTGGTACCATTGTTAATGGATTTTGGTACCATATTTAGTGGATTCTGGTACCATATTCATGAATTTCGATACTATTTAGTGGATATGGGTACCATTTCTAGTTAATTTTGGTACCATTTTTGTGGATTTCGGAACCATTCTAATGAATTCGGTACCATTTTAAGCAAATTTTGGTACTATTTCAGTGATCTTTGATACCATATTTACTGCATTTCGATACCATTTTTGTAGATTTTGGTATTCTTTTTAGTGACTTTTGGTAACTTTTTAGTAGATTCTGATACCATTTTAAGTAGACTTTGGTACCATATTTTGTTTATTTCGTTATCATTTTTTAATTATATTTTGGTACCATATTGATAGATTTCGGTACCATTTTTCGCGAGCATCGGTACCATTACTATAGATTCCGGTACCATTTTGGTGAATTAGGGTACCATTTTTAGAGAATTTTGATACCATTTTAGTATGTTTTGGTACCATTTCCAGTGAATTTTGGTACCATTTTGAGCGATTTTGGTATCATTTTCATCGAATTTCGGTACCATTTTTAGTAATTTTTGACACCATTTTAGTGGATTTCGGAACCATTTAAGCGAGAATTGGTACCATTTTTTGTAGATTTCGGTACCATTTTTAGTGAATTTCGGACGCTTTGAGCCTATTTCGGATCATGTTAAGCGCATTTTAGACTATTTTAACGAATTTTGGACCAGTTTTAATAGATTTTGGTACCATTTTAAGCCTATTTTGGACCATTTTAATGAATTTCGGTACCATTTTAGCGGATTCTCACCTCTCCCAACATGGTGGGTCCAACTCTCATCTGAGCAACGCCTCCTCTCATTACAGTACACGGCGATACGATGATTCGATCCCAAAGACCCATATGCTTCAGAAACAGGTGAAATCTGGCTGTGAGGACTCGTTTGGCGTGTAGCTCCGTGTCCGTTTTGTTCGCCGCATCCGAATAATCAATGATTGCTGATAGGAATTGTTGAACGACACGACACAGCTCCTGATCGGCCATGTTGTGGACCTCCTGGAAAGAAAATTGGGGTTTTTGTCTGGAAAATTGGTCAACAATGAGCATTTTAGACACCTGGAGTCACAATTTTGACTTAAAAATCAGTTTTGAATGACTAGAAATGGCTGAAAATAGCTAACAACAGACCCAATTCTATTTTTATAGTTAAAATTCGGTATTTTTCAGCCAAATTTCGTATTTTTAGAGCCAAAATTTGGTATTTGTGAGCCTATTTCTAGCAATTTTTAGCAATAAAAACATGATTTTTGAGTCTAAACCGAAAACCCCTATTTTCGATAGATTTTTCTGGATTTTCCTACCTTCAACAACTCCGACGCCTTGGCCATATCCTTCTCGGCGAACAACTCAAAAGACTTATGCAGCGACTGGAATACGGGCGTCTTTGGCAGTCCAGCAGCGACCATTTCCGTCAGCAGCTCACTCAGCACACCCCAATCATCGGTTCCAGCCGCCAGCGATGGGACCACAATCTGCGTCTTATTGTACATCATTGAGCCGTCTGAGAATCCACGTGGCAGCAGGCGTACGGTAGAAACGCCGTTCTCCAGAAGGATGATGTAGGTGTACGTTTTGCCGATGGAGCATCCAATCAGCTGGTCACGAGCCGGCAGGGAGATGTATCGGTAGAGGGATAGAGCCTTTTTGGGTTTGTACAGGTCGAATGGGAGGTACAGGGAGATGGCTGGAAATTTTGGGTAACTATGACATTTCACAAATATGACATTTCGCAACTTTGACATTTCGCAACTATGACATTTCGCAACTATGACGTTTCGTAACTTTGACATTTCGCAACTTTGACATTTCGCAACTATGACATTTCGCAACTATGACGTTTCGTAACTTTGACATTTCGCAACTATGACATTTCGCAACTATGACATTTCGCAACTATGACATTTCGCAACTTTGACATTTCGCAACTATGACATTTCGCAACTATGACATTTCGCAACTATGACATTTCGCAACCATGTCATTTCACAAATATGACATTTCGCAACTATGAAGCTTTGCAACTATGACATTTCGCAACTATGTCTTTTCACAAATATGACATTTCGCAACTATGACATTTCGCATCTATGTCATTTCACAAATATGACATTTCGCAACTATGAAGCTTTGCAACTATGACATTTCGCAACTATGTCATTTCACAAATATGACATTCCGCAACTCTGGCATTTCGCAACTATGACATTCCGCAACTCTGGCATTTCGCAACTATGACATTCCGCAACTCTGGCATTTCGCAACTATGACATTCCGCAACTCTGGCATTTCGCAACTATGACATTTCGCAACTATGACATTTCGCAACTATGACATTTCGCAACTATGTCATTTCACAAATATGACATTTCGCAACTATGAAGCTTTGCAACTATGACATTTCGCAACTATGTCATTTCACAAATATGACATTTCGCAACTATGACATTTCGCAACTATGACATTTCGCAATTATGACATTTCGCAACTATGACGTTTCGCAGCTATGACATTTCGCAGCTATGACGTTTTGCAACTATGAAGCTTTGCAACTATGACATTTCGCAGCTATGACGTTTTGCAACTATGAAGCTTTGCAACTATGACATTCCGCAACTCTGGCATTTCGCAACTATGACATTCCGCAACTCTGGCATTTCGCAACTATGACATTCCGCAACTCTGGCATTTCGCAACTATGACATTTCGCAACTTTGACATTTCGCAACTATGACATTTCGCAACTATGACATTTCGCAACTATGACATTTCGCAACTATGTCATTTCACAAATATGACATTTCGCAACTATGAAGCTTTGCAACTATGACATTTCGCAACTATGTCATTTCACAAATATGACATTTCGCAACTATGACATTTCGCAACTATGACATTTCGCAATTATGACATTTCGCAACTATGACGTTTCGCAGCTATGACATTTCGCAGCTATGACGTTTTGCAACTATGAAGCTTTGCAACTATGACATTTCGCAGCTATGACGTTTTGCAACTATGAAGCTTTGCAACTATGACATTCCGCAACTCTGGCATTTCGCAACTATGACATTCCGCAACTCTGGCATTTCGCAACTATGACATTCCGCAACTCTGGCATTTCGGTTTGTACAGGTCGAATGGGAGGTACAGGGAGATGGCTGGAAATTTTGGGTAACTATGAAATTTCACAAATATGACATTTCGCAACTATGACATTTCGCAACTATGACGTTTCGTAACTTTGACATTTCGCAACTTTGACATTTCGCAACTATGACATTTCGCAACTATGACGTTTCGTAACTTTGACATTTCGCAACTATGACATTTCGCAACTTTGACATTTCGCAACTATGACATTTCGCAACTATGACATTTCGCAACTATGACATTTCGCAACTATGTCATTTCACAAATATGACATTTCGCAACTATGAAGCTTTGCAACTATGACATTTCGCAACTATGTCATTTCACAAATATGACATTTCGCAACTATGACATTTCGCATCTATGTCATTTCACAAATATGACATTTCACCAATATGACATTTCGCAACTATGAAGCTTTGCAACTATGACATTTCGCAACTATGTCATTTCACAAATATGACATTCCGCAACTCTGGCATTTCGCAACTATGACATTCCGCAACTCTGGCATTTCGCAACTATGACATTCCGCAACTCTGGCATTTCGCAACTATGACATTCCGCAACTCTGGCATTTCGCAACTATGACATTCCGCAACTCTGGCATTTCGCAACTATGACATTCCGCAACTCTGGCATTTCGCAACTATGACATTCCGCAACTCTGGCATTTCGCAACTACAGGGTCCGCCAAAATTACGTGTGCAAGTGTAGATGACGTTATCTCCAGAAGTAGATGTGAGATTAAGACGAAATTTAACAGATAGTTTATTTCAACGCTTGAAATCATAATTCAACAAAAATTATTCGATTCTACCTCCTTTGGCAGCGACCACGGCACGAAGTCGTCGAGGGAAGGCATCAATGGTGGCACGCAGGTATTCGACGGATAATTTGTCCCATTCCTCAGACAACGACTTCTTCAGGGCCTCGATATTTGCATGAGGTCTTGCGCAGACCTTATTCTGCAGAACTCCCCATACGGAGTAGTCGAGCGGGTTCAGATCAGGCGACGAAGCCGGCCATTCGTCCTTTGGTATGAAGGCGGGGAAGTGGTCCTTGCACCACTGTTGAGCCATTTTTGCGGTATGAGCAGGCGCTCCATCTTGCTGGAAGATGTATTTCTTCTGACCGAAGTGGTTTTGAGCCCACGGTAGCACATGCTTCTCCAGAATCTCCTCAACGTAGTATTTTTGGTTGATTTTCACGCCTTTATCAACGAAAACAAGCGGACACTTCCCATCATAGCAAACCGCTCCGAAAACCATGATGCTCGCAGGATGAGAGGCTCGATGGATTGTTTTACCACGCTCAGCTGCTTGTTGAATATTTGTGGCCAGCACTCGGTGGTTTTGGCTATTAAATTCAGCCTCGACACTGAAGAGTTTCTCGTCCGAGAAGATGGTGATAAGATGATCCTTTTTGCGCGTGCCAGCGAGAAGGCGCTTCGCTTTGATGAGCCGTTTCTCCTTATTGGCTTGGGATAGAATAGCAGCTTTTGTTGCTCGATAAGAGGTCATCTTCAGCTCTTTTCTGACAATTCTCCTCATTGATGTATAGGAGATATCCATGTCATCTGACATCTTTTTCATGGAACGATGAGCATTTCGCCTGACTTTCTCCCGGACGGCCTTGACTTTCGCTGGAGTTCTTACAGTCCTCGGTCTTCCTCTTCCCGTACGGTCCTTGAGGTGGCCAAGCTGGTTGAAACGACGGATGGTCGCGAAAACCGTGTTTCGGTGCACTCCGAGTCGTTTAGAAATGTCTCCTTTGCTTAAACCTCGCTTGTAAAAGTCGACGATCAGAGTACGATGAGGACTTGCCGCTGTCATTTACCTAAAACATAACCGATTGGGATGAAACTTGGCAAACTAATAAATAATGAAATAATTAATAAAAATTTTAAAAAATTGCGCACCAAAAGTGCGTCAGTGCGCAGCGCCATGGCGTCAAAGTTGTGCACACGTAATTTTGGCGGACCCTGTATGACATTCCGCAACTCTGGCATTTCGCAACTATGACATTCCGCAACTCTGGCATTTCGCAACTATGACATTCCGCAACTCTGGCATTTCGCAACTATGACATTCCGCAACTCTGGCATTTCGCAACTATGACATTCCGCAACTCTGGCATTTCGCAACTATGACATTCCGCAACTCTGGCATTTCGCAACTATGACATTCCGCAACTCTGGCATTTCGCAACTATGACATTCCGCAACTCTGGCATTTCGCAACTCTGGCATTTCGCAACTATGACATTTTGCAACCATATTTTTAATGTCAAAAATCCGTATTTTCAGAGCCAATTTTCATATTTTCAAGCCAAGATACAGTATTTTTGTGGCTGGAAATTAGGAATTTCTAGCTTCGAAATAACAATTTTTCAGGCCAAAAAGACCTTTAAAAATTCAAATTTGCCTCCAAAATGAGATAAAAACTCACCAAAAAACGGATTAACAATGATGATTCCATCGGTTCTCTCTGCACTTTTCGACTCGGCCGTGTCTTTTGGAATGCACAGAGTCGAGTTAGAGTAGACTTGTGGGTCCTGTTTGGCGAAAAGTGCTCGATGCTCATTGATAGGGATCTTGGCGGACCAAACGAATTCCGTCGGCTGTTTCGTTTGCCAATCGGGTGGTAGCCAGACGATGAACAGCGAGACGAGGGGGGTGTCTTCATGAGTCCCACCAACCAGACACATCAGACCACCACGAAAGACGGAGACGTCGATCAGATGCGAACGGACTAGGTTCGGCACGCGCTGGAATATAGGAAATTAGGGGGTTTAGAAGATGAAAATCTGGATTTCCATGGTCAAAAAGTAAGATTTTTAGCTTAGAAATGTTAATTTTATACTCGAAATAACAGATTTGGGCTCGAAAATACCGATTTCTGGCTCAAAAAAGCATGAAAAAAATTGCATTAAAAATACTGATCTTAAGCTCAAAAACTTGATTTTTAGACTCAAATCATTAGATTTCGAGAATCGAAAACCCAAAAATCGCAAATTTCGTCATTTTAAGTAGATAAAATCCAGTTATTTTAGTCAAAAAATCACATTTTTTTGCTTCAAAAATGACAATTTGGGTCATTTTCAGCCAATTTCAGCTATTTTTTTATGCAGTTTCAGGCGATTTTCAGCCATTTTTTCGTGCAAAATCTAGTAAGTTGAGTCAAAAATTCACATTTTCAGCTTCGAAAAGTTGCAATTTTCTCAGAAATTGGACTTTTAAAAAGCCTTGAATGATCCGAATCCGTGGAAAATATACGGTACCAAAAATGGTCATTTTTGAGCCATTTCAACTGAATTTCGGATTCAGGAAAACATTTTGGGCTATTTACAGTGATTTGCCAACCATTTTCGGCAAAATTTCAACAATTTGAGCCCAAAAATCCACTAAAAATGGTACCAGAATTCACTAAATTCGTCACTTTTGAGCCATTGTAGTGATTTTGGTACCATTTCCCATGGATTTTGGACCGTTTTTGGGGGTTTTTGACCGAAAACTGCGGGGTTTTTAAATGCTGAAAATGTGAATTTCTAGCTGAAAATCTGAATTTTCAGAGTCAAAAATGAGCATTTTCCTTGAAAAACAAAATTTACAGCTAGGAGGTTTTCTGAGAGTTTCAGCTGCTCGAAAAATCAATTTCTAGAAAATTTGCAATTTCAGAGCACAAAATTGACAAATTTCGTCATTTTTAGACCCAAAATCTCGATTTATAGAGCAAAAATCCAAATTTTTGAGCTTAAAACGGCAAATTTCAGTTAAAAAATACTAATTTCTAAGCAATTTCCCGAATTTTTTCCAATTTTTTCTAGCCAAATCTAGTAATTTGAGTCAAAAATTCACATTTTTAGCTTCAAAATTGACAATTTTCGGTCATTTTCGATCATTTTAAAGTCGATTTTCAGCCTTTTTCAGCCATTTTTATCATTTTTCGGTTAATTCGGACGATTTTAAGCATATTTTTGACTATTTTAAGTTCATTTTAGCCCTTTTTTTCGTCATTTTTCATGAATTTTGAATCATTTCGGGCCTATTTCGGACTACTTTGGATCATTTTACGCATATTTTTAACCATTTTAGTCCTATTCCGCACCATTTTTAGCCTAGTTTTAACGAATTTTGAACCTTTTTTGGGCTGTTTCGCATCACTTATAGGTTATTTTTGACTATTTTAGGCTGCTTTTCCCCCCTTCTCCCCAATTCCCACCTTCAAATCCTGCTCAAAAAAGTAAGTGACCCTCTGCTGAAAGAATTCCTTCGTCTTCAACGTCCACACCTCCGATGGCTCCAACATATTGAACACCGAGAGGAGGTCCGGCGACACTTCCACCACCAAAAGTGCATTTTTGGACTCAAAACTGAACGAATTGGTGACCAGCGATGGGTTTTCTTTGGATAATCCATTTCCACTGCTGAAGATAATCGAGGAGAGACGTCTTCTGAATCCCTGCGGCTCTCTTCCAATCACTTTATGACATTCTAGAGTCCCAGTCTTCCCAGAATTCTCGCCTTCTCCGTTGATAAAATAGATGGTTCCTGAGGTGGTTGTTAGCAGGAAACTGGCGGATTTTCCGTCGGCTGGCTCATCGGTGAGCTCCAATTTCAGTGCCACCTCGCTGTTGATGTCCAGAACCTTCTCGATGTAATTTGAGGATTCGATCGATGTCCAGTGGCGGAGAACACCTGGAAATTTGATGTTTTAGCGTCGAAACTTGATATTTTCAGCCTTAAAAACCTTAATTTAAGTCTAAAAGTACACTTTTGGGCTGCAAAATTCATATTTTTAGATCAAAAAATACGGATTTCAAGGCCAAAATTCGTATTTTTGAGGCGAAAATCCGGTATTTTCAGGCCAAATTTTCGCATTTTCAATGTCAAATTTTCGTATTTTCAGAGCCAAAAATCACTATTTTTTATAGCCGAAATCGCGTATTTTTAGGCCAAAATTCGTATTTTTGAGGCGAAAATCCGGTATTTTCAGAGCCAAAAATCACTATTTTTGAGCCAGAATTTGCTAATTATAGCTGAAAATCGTATAATTTTTGAGCCAAATTTCGTATTTTGGAGCCAAAAACACCATTTTTCGGCCCTAAAACTAGAAATTACAGCTCGAAAAAAGGCGATTTTTCAGAAAATACGGATTTTATGACAAAATTTTCGCTTTGCCAAAGTGCTCTATTTCTGAGCCAAAAATCGCTATTTTTATAGCTGAAAATCGTAATTTTTTAGCCAATTTTCATAATTTTTGAGCCAAAATTCGCTATTTTTGAGCCAAAAATACTGATTTTTAGGCCAAATTTCGTATTTTTAGAGCCAAAAATACACATTTTTGAGCGCGGTAAATTCAATTTTCACTCGAAATTCTCAATTTTTACCTTCTGGAGAGACGATAACGACGCCTGGAATGGGAAGTTTGGTGCTTGATGAGATTCTGGAGCCATCGTAGACGACGACACACTTGGAGGAGCGTGGGAGGCCGCTGGTGGGGAGAGGGAGCACTTGGGGGATGGTGGCTCGGTTGGAGGACTGAAATTTCGATTTTTAGCCACAAAAATTGTACTTTCGAGGGTTTTTTGGTCTAGAAAGTTGGAAATTTTTTAAGGTTTTGGGACCCAAATTTATGATTTTCAGCATTAAAATTTGATTTTGAAGGGCAATTTTGGTCCGTAAAGGTTTTGGTCCATTAAAAAAATCACGATTTCCAGCTATTCAAATTGCCAAAAATGATGATTTTCACTAAAATTTCAATTTTTGGTTAAAATTTGAAAATTTTTAAGAATTAAAAATTCCAGAAATCTTCAAGTTTCAAGTTTTTCGCCCTCTTCTGGACATTTTGAACCCGAAATTTTCAATTTTTGAGCTCAAAATTAGCCATTTTTGGTTCTAAAACCCACTTTAGCCCTCTCCCAAATGAACATTTGATTCCGCGACATCACCCAACAGTGCCGCTCGTTCAGCGACGCACAATTCGACGGAACATCGGTTCGATGTGCTGAAGCGTGCCAATCTGAACGATTTTTTGCATTTTTTGACGATTTTTAGCTATACAAACTGTTTAAAAACGCCTCTTTGACGAGCGCTGGGTACTCTATAGGCACTCCATCGAGCGTCAGCTCCAGTTCTTTGTCTGGCGAGATTTTGAAGTGCTGATAGGTGGGATCCAGCATTTTTATCTTTTCTGAAACGAGAATTTGCGGAAAGACAGTGAAAAAATGAGAAAAATCGGTGAAAAACGACCTAAAAACCACAAAAAAATGATGAGAAAATACGAAAAATGGAGTTTCCCGCCAATTTTTTCTGTCGTCTTCTCGGGACCCAAAAGCTTCCAAGGGGTGTGCGCCTATAAGAAATTACGGTTTTTGGAGCGACTTTTCGACCGAATAATAAGGAAAAATCAAGACTGAAGACTCAATAAACGAATTGAAACGAATAAATTTTAAATTCCCTCATTTTTCCGGGTCATCTGGCGGTCGCTGACGCATTTTCCTCGCACCGAAAGCGCGCAAACCCCTCTTATTTTCCAGGTGGCGAGAAACGGAAAAAATATGGGTTATTAATTGAAAAATGAACGAAAAAAGTGCTAGTCAGCTGAAACAGAGCGATTATTTGCACGCGTTGGAAGAAGAGGAGACGGTGAGAGATTTACAGAAAATTCTGGAAAAATTTTTTTTTTTGCTAAAAATTTTTTTCAGGAATTCTACGAAGCCATCGATCCAGCGCAACCGTCAACATCGAATGCGTATCGGAATGGTGAGAATTTTCTTCTGAAAATTTAGCTGAAAAATCCAAAAATTGAAATTTTTGAAAAAAAAGTTTTCCAAAAAATTTTTTTTTCAATTTTTCCTCTCAAAAACCCCAACAAACCTCAAAAATCCCAAAAATTAGATTTCCAGAAAAATTCCAATACGCCCACATCCCTCAACACCTCACTCCACCGATTGCTCAGCATAAAAGTCGCCTGAGGGCCCTCCGACAAACCTCCGACGCCATCACAGAAGCGGCAAAGAAAAATGGCATGCAGACGGTGGATAGGGTGAGATTTCGATGATTTTCGAGTGAAAATTCGGCATCTTAGACCCAAAAAACCCCCCGGAAACCCCGATTTTCGACCTGGTGGCCTAGAAAATTGGCAATTGGCGAAATTGGATTTCTAGGCCACCAAATCAAAACTACTGTTTTAAGCTCAATTTTTGAGTTTAAATTGTAAATTTCATCGTTTTTATGACAAAAATTATATCAAAAATTGATATAGATGGCCTAGAAATTGGAAGATTTGGATTTCTAGGCCACCAAAACCAAAAATCGAAATTCTCGATTTTTTAGCGACTTTTAACCCAAAATAAGCGAAAAGGTCACTTTTGGCTTATTTTTGGCAGTTTTCCACTCAAAAAACCCCCTGAAACACTGGTTTTTGACCTTATGGCCTAGAAAACCAGAAATTTAGATTTCTAGGCCACTTTTAAAAAACTGGATTTTTGATTTTTTTTTAAACCCTAAAATAGGCTGAAAATGTCATTTTTGGCCATTTTTCCGCTCAAAAAAGTCCCAAATTTGCCATTTTTAGTCTATAACCCCCAAAAAATCCCAATTTTTGCAGTCCGGCTCCCGCTACGTGGTCCCCATAACGATGCAAGCGCACCCCACCCAACTAAACGACTATATTCTACCCGAAAAAGACGATATTCTGAGTCGTAAGTGCCAAATTTAAGATTTTCAGCCACTTTCAGCTTTTTGAAATTCCAGAAAACTCCCCGTTCCCCTACTGTATCCATTGTCATTCGATTTTCAAAACGTGGCGAGGATTCGAGTATCATGTGCTGCAAATTCATTTAAAGTAGGTCAAGAATAGAAAAAAATGGCCTAGAAATTCTATTTCTAGCCCATGATCAGCGAAAAATGGCTTAGAAATCCAATTTTTTGGGTTTCTAGGCCACCGCAATTGGTTTTTATAGTGATTTTTGCCATAAAAACCGTAAAAATCACCCCGGAAAATAGTCTGGTGGCCTAGAAATTCGGAAAATTTGGGTTTCTAGGCCACCAGAGAAGATGGCCTAGAAATCCAAATTGTTCGGTTTCTAAGCCATCCAAATGGATTTTTCATGTAATTTTTGTCACAGAACGATAAAAATAAGCCCATATCCGAAAAAAAATCTGCTTAGAAATCTCTGCTGGCCTAGAATTCCTAATTCCTAGGCCACCGGACTCAAAAATCGTCTATGTTCCTAGTCGTAATACTGTTTTGGCAGTTTTTACGCATGGAAACTCTCAAAAAACCCCAGAAATCGCTTATTTCTGATGATGGCCCAAAATTATTTCTGATGATGGCCCAAGAAATCCAAATTTTCTAGGCCATCAATTGAAAATTGGAGGTTTCGAGCCATTTTTGATTTGGAAAGATCACTAAAAGTGGTTAATAAAGCTTAAAATGACCTAAACATTCGAAATTTTCAAAAAAAAATTCGGTTGCCTAGAAAATGCGAAATTTGGATTTCTAGGCCATGAGCTTTTTTGGGCTTCCTAGGCCATCTAAATCGATTTTTGGGGTGATTTTTGGCTCAAACATTGAGCTAAAACCACTTTTCAGCTTAATGGCCTAGGAATCCATAATCCAAATTTCTAGGCCACCACTCTATTTTCTCTTCCAGATACCGCCCGTTTCGTTGTTATCACTGTACAAAAGAGAGCTTTTACACGGAAGAGGAAGGCCGTTTTCATTCCAGCACATCTCATCCGAATGAGGAGATTACGGTAGGTGGAGTTCTCTAGGCCATGGAGGTTTTTCTAGGCCACCAAGAACCATTTTTTTCAGTTATTCAAGGATTTCGACGTGGTGAAGGAGTCGGCAGCCGAGCAGGCGTTCAAGCAGGTCTTCATGATGTGTAGAGACGGGGTGAGTGGAGTGTTTCTAGGCCACGAGCTTCCTTTCTAGGCCACGAGCTGAAAATTTCTAGGCCACGAGCTGAAAATTTCTAGGCCACGAGCTGAAAAAAAAAAGATATTTGGGGGTTTTTTGGAGGTTTTGGATGCTAAAAAAACGTCAGAAAAGCATGAAAAATCGATGTGATGGCCTAGGAAATTTCAATTTTCATACTTTCAGACCATGGCCGAGAAATTTGGATTTCTAGGCCACGTGCTAAAAATTGGGTTTCTGGGCGTTTTTTCGAGGTTTTTGGATACTAAAATTTATGAAAAATTCGTTGAAAAGCACAAAAATGAATTTGGTGGTCTAAAAAACGCCTGGTGGCCGAGAAATTCAGAAATTTGGGTTTCTAGGCCACAAGTTGAAAATTCTTGTTTTTGGGTGTTTTTAGGCTTATTTTTAGCGTTTTTTCGAACGAAAACGTGTTGGACGAGCTTGGTGGCCTAAAAAATTTGAAATTCGGATTTCTAGGCCATGCATTTTTTTTTTCAGCCATTCGTCACCCGACAGCGTATCTACGAATGGGAACAGCAGGCGACTCGAGAAATCATGAAATTTCACTTTTTGAAATTCAAACGACCCATCGTAGTGACCAAAAAGTTGTAAGTGCGCTCTATTGATAACTTTTGGAGTTTTCAAATTTTTCGCAGACCTACAGTATCCCGAGAAATTCAAACCGAGCTGACGAGCCTTCGAATGATGATACCACAGATTTTAGAGGAACAACAACAACAGCTCCATCATGCTCCGCCCATTTTTCAGAGGCTCACCATGACGGTAAGCATGGCCTAGAAAATGCAAAATTTGGTTTTCTAGGCCACCATCTGAAAAATTGGGTTTCGGGGTTTATTTCGCCGAATTTAGAGCCAAAAAATCGCTGAAAGAGCCCTAAAAACTGTTAAATTAACAAAAGTTGAGAGTTTTTGAGGCTGATGGGCCTAGAAAATTGGAAATTTGGATTTCTAGGCCACCACGTGAAAATTGGACTCCTAAGCCAGTAAGGGATTTTTAAGCCAATTTTTAGTGAACTAGGGGATATTTTGACAGTTTTATGACAATTATCACAATATTTGAGATAAATGGCCTAGAAATCCAAAATCTTGGATTTCTAGGCCACCACTTGAAAATAGGTTTCATGGGTTCGCTTTAGCGTATTTAAAGCTAGAAAATCGTTGAAAAAACACTAAAAACTGGGAAATTAACAAAAGTTGGAAGTTTTTGAGGTTGATGGTCTAGAAAATTGGAAATTTGGATTTCTAGGCCACCACTTAAAAACTGGGATTTCGAGAGTTTTTCAACGAATTCTAGGGCCAAAAAACCTTTAAATTAACCCTGAAAACTTGAAAAATGATAAATTTTCATAATTTTAAGCCTGATGGCCTAGAAATCAGGAAATTTGGTTTTCTAGGCCACCACCTGAAAAAAGTGGATTTCTAGGTCAATAAGTGAATTTTGAGGCAATTTTTTGAGACCTGGGGGGTTATTTTAACAGTTTTATAGCAAAAATCAGAAAAATTTGCAATATTTGTGAATGATAGCCTAGAAAATCGGAAATGTTGGATTTCTAGGCCACCACTAAAATCTCCTATTTTTCAGGGTTATCACATTTCAACACCACTTCTAAGCGTAGGAGGACGTCCCAGATCGACAGCTACGCAGCGGGATGAAGATCCCAGGGACCGAGAAAAAGTAGGGGATTTTGGGATTTTTGGGATTGGTGGCTTAGATTTTTCTAGGCCACCAAAATTTTTTTTTTGAAATTTTGGAATTTTTTCAGCGAGTCGCCGCACTGATGCATGCTGTTACAACGTCTCATAATCAATAATTGATGAATTTTTGAAATTTCTGAAATTTTTGAATTTTAGAGTTTTTGTAAAATTCCAATTTTCGGATTTTTCAAATTGTTGAAAATTTGAAAATTTTCAAAATTTTCAAAAATTTGAAAAATTCCAATTTTCGGATTTTTTGAAATTTGAATTTTTCGAATTTTTTTGAAATTTGAATTTTTCGGATTTTTCAAATGTTTGAGATTTCGATATTTTTTGAATTTTTTGAATTTTTGAAAAATTCCAATTTTCAGTTTTTTGAAAAATTTGAATTTTTGGATTTTTATTTGCTATTTTTTGTCAATTTTCTCACATTCTTCCAGTCATCTTGTCAGTTTTTCTTTTTTTCCCCCCAATTTTTCTGATTTTTCCGTCTTTTCTTAACCAATTTTAAAATATTTTTCCTCTTATAAATCAGTGTTTTTCTCACAATTTCCCCTCTTTTTTCTGAAATTTCAATTTTTTGAATTTTTAAAGCTTGGATTCCAAGAAAAAACATGCAAAGATACATGTGAGAATATCTGGAATTTTAGGTTTTTTTTTGAATTTTTTGAAATTTTAAACCTTTTCAGCACCAAAAAATCGATGAAAATGGATATTTTGGACATTTCTGGACGAAAAATTTGGATTTTCAAAAATTTATTATCTGAAAAATTTGAAAAAAAGCCAATTTTTGCTGAAAAATTCAAAATGTTCAAATTCCCGCCAAAATTGAAAATTCAAAATTATCAATAAAAATACAATTGTGGCCGACATTTTTTGAAAATGTTGAAATTCTGAAAATCTGGAATTCTCGAATTCTGAATTTCCGAGATTCCGAAATTCTTACATTTTTTGAAATTCTTAAATTTTTTGAAATTCTGGAATTTTGAGTTTTTCAAAATTTTCGACATTTTTAGAATTTCGGATATCGAAGTATCCGAAATTCTAAAATTCCGAAATTCTAAAATTTTCAAATTCCCGCCAAAACCAAAAATTCGACAATAATTTTTTGGAAATTCTGAAAATCTGGAATTCTCAAATTCTCAATTTCCGAGATTTTGAAATTTCGAAATTTTCAGAATTTCAAGGATTTTAGAAATTCAGGATTTGAAATTTTTCAAAATCTCGAAATTAGAAAATTTTAGATTTTCAAAATTTTGCGATTAGGAAATTTCAAATTTTGAAAATTTCAAAAATTTGAAAAATTTTAGAAATTCAGAATTTTAAAAATTTTCAAAATTTCAAAATTCTGGACTTCAAAAATTCAGAAGTTCAAATTACAAAAAAAAATCAAATTTTTAGATTTTTCTAAACATTTTAACCTGAAAAAAATTGGATTTTTCTTCAAAATGACCCCGAAAAGTGCATTTTTTCAACAGAAAAAAATGACCTTCTCCCGAAAACCGACGCCATAAATTTCACAAAAAAAAAGAAGAAGAACACATTTTCTTTTTTTTTTCATTTTATGAAATAAATTGTGTGATGACCTCTAATGGAATAGAAATTGGATTAGAATCTTTTCTTTTGTAAATCATATATAGATTCCTTGAAGATCTTATCGAAATTTCCACTTTTTTGGATTTTAAAAGTCGAAGAATCTAGGAATCTTAAAATTCGAAAATTAAAAACCTAAAAGTCGAAACATCTCAAAATTTAAAAATTCCGAAATCTTGAAAACTAGGAATCTCGAAATTTGAGAATCCAGGAATTTTAAAAAAACCAGTTATCTAATAATCCATAATTCTAGAAATCTATAAATTTTCAATAATTTCAAAATTTTCCAAATTTGCCATTTGTAGACTTCTCTGAAATTTTGAAAAATAAGAAAAAATTCCAAACCTGAAGTTCCGAAAATTCAGAAGTTCTGGAATTCCGAATTTCTGAATTTCTGATTTTCCAAGTTTCTGGGATTCTAAGATTCTTAGATTCTAAGATTTTGAAACTACAGGATTTCAGAATTTTGATTTTGAAATTCCGAAATTCTGAAAATCCGAAATTCTGAGAAATTCAAAATTTCAGATGTTCTGGAATTTTGAAATTCTGAAATTTTTAAATTTCAGAATTCAGAAACACCGAGATTTCGAAATTCTAAAGTTTTCGAATTTTGAAATTTTAGAGTTCCTGAGATTCAGAAATTTTGAAAATTTTAAAAGTCCGAGATTTTGAATTTCCTAGATTCTGAAAATTCAAAAATTGAAAAAAAAATATTTTTTTGAAAATTTTGTAAATCTAATTGTAATACATAGAAAAAAAAATCTAAATCTAAAAATCAAAGAATTCTAAGATCGAAAATCCAGAAATCTAGAAATCTAGAAGTCTGAAAGTCTAGGAATCCGAAGAAAATCTCGAGATTCAAGAATCCAAAAAATCTTAAAATCGAAGAATCTAAAATTAGAAAATTCGAATATTTCAGCATTTCAAAATCTCGGAATTTTAAGATTTCAGAGTTTTAGAAATTCAGAATTTCGGAATTTCAGGATTTCAGAATCCTGGAATCTCAGAATCTAAGAATCTAAAATTATCAGAATTTCAAAATCTCGGAATTTCAAATTTTACTAATTTCGGAATTTCGGAATTCCAGAATTCCAAAACATCTCTTAAATTCAGCGATTCCGAAGTTCCGAGTATTTAGAATTCCTAATTTCTGAAATTCTTGATTTACGAAATTCTGAATTGTTGAAGTTATGAAAATTTTAAGATCCTCAAGTTCTGAGATTTCGAAATCTGAAATTGCGAAATTCGAAAAATCAGAACCTCTGCATTTCTGAACTTTTGAATTTTCGAGTTTTTCAAATTCCGAAATTCTGAAATTAGTAAAATTTGAAATTCCGAGTTTTGAAATTCTAATGATTTTAGATTCTGAGATTCTGAGATTCCAAGATTCTGAAGTCCTGAAATACCGAAATTCTGAGTTTCTAAAACTCTGAAACGTTCGAATTCCGAGATTCTGAAATGCTGAAATATTCGAATTTTCTAATTTTAGATTCTTCGATTTTCAGATTTTTTGGATTCTTGAATCGCGAGATTTTCTTCGGATTCCTAGACTTTCAGACTTCTAGATTTCTAGATTTCTGGATTCTCGATCTTAGAATTCTTTGGATTCTTGAATTCTGTATTTCCGAAATTCTGAAATGCTATTATTCTGAAATTCCGAGATTCTGAACTTCAGAAAGTTCGAAATTTCTGAAATTCCGAAATTCTCAAATTTTGTATCAAATCCCCAAACCATACCCCTCTTCCGGCTGTGTAAACATTCCCTCTAAAGCTCTTTCTCCTTTCTCTGCGTCTCTCACTTCCCCACACTCTCTCATCCCATCCCATCCATCGGGAAAATTGGCGCAAAACGGTCGGTGTTGTATGTCGACGTGTCCATCATAGTCATGTACAGTTTTCTGTCTCACTGTCTGCGTCTCTTTTTGACAAACACTCTCTCGCCTTCCTTCGGTCAGGGAGGGAACAGGTCAAAGCGGGCTTTTGAACTAGAAATTTCGATATTTAAGGCAAAAAATTGATTTTTGGATAGCTAAATTTGAATTTTGTTTGAAAATTTCGAGCTAAAATTTTGAAATTCAATGAAATTTCGAAATTCAAAAACCTCAAAAATTGTCATTTCCGAATTTCCGAATTTCTAAAATTTCTGTTTTTCTGAATTTCTGAATTTCCAAATTTCTAAATTTCCAAATTTCTGATTTTCTAAATTTCTGAATTCCAGAATCTCTCAATTTCTGAATTTCTGAATTATCAATTTTTTTTTCAAAAATCACATTTTTTCAAATTCCCTCCATTTTCCATAGAACCAACTACACCATGAATATGCAATTAGTTATTCTCTTTTCTCTCTGTTTCTCTAATTTTCTCACTCATTCTTTCTCTCTCATTCTATTGTTCTTTTTGACTCATTGTACATAGTATTGGTTTGATTGATTTATATGTACCCAGTATTTGACTTTCCATGTGGCTTTTTTTTTAACTTTTGACCTCAAATAACTCGGCTCAAAATCAAAATATTTTTACGAATCAAAATGTAAAATGTAAAACTTAAAAAATGCTTCAAAATGATATCGAATTCGGCTAGATTCATAGCTTTGAGCTGCGAGGCCTGTGGCACAGCCAAGCCGCGCGCTAAGCGGTTGGCCCACTGTTGTAGGGCCTGTAGCTCAAAACACGGTGAACGAAGTTGGATGAATTTAGTATTATTTTGTAGCTCTAGTCAATTTCTACATTTAAAATTTTTGAATCGCAAAGAAATTTCAATTTTGAGCCGAGTTATAAGCTTTCCAAGACTGGTTGTGTCAGTTTTTTCGGCATACACCTACAAAACTAGCTCAAACTTCTTCAATTCACCTCAAATTTCATGAGTGTACTGAACAAAACTAGAGCTTCATTTTTGTAGTTGACAACTTTTTTAGGCAAACGCGCTCCAGCGAGATATGCCATGTGGAAGTCGGCGCGCCGCGAGCCTAGGGTGGGAGGTGGCGCCAGCTCACCCATCGGCTTCCAAGCGTCATATCTCGCTAGAGCGCGTTTGCATCAAAAAGTTGAAGACTACAAAAATGGAGCTCTAGTTTTGTTTAGTACACTCTGAAAATTTTAGAAAATTCAAAAAAAAGTTTTAAACACTTTTTAGGGCAAGGCAACCTGACTATACTCAAAAAATGCGAATTTTAAGTGTCTCATAGTTTGAGTCTCTATGAAAGGACTTTAAAATTAAATTATTTTTCTGAAATTTTCAGGTTGCAATAATCAAAACTAGAGCGTCATTTTTGTAGTCTTCAACTTTTCTGTAGCTCGTTGGGTTTTTGAGTTAAATACGTCTTTAAAGTTAAGAATAGGTGGAGGTTTATGAGGTCTAGATCAGCGTTTTCATTGGAAATCTTCCTTTTTTGTTGGCTTTTTGTTTTCATCAAACCCAATACCAAAAACCAATAAGAATCAATTTTTGACAAGGTAAACAATTGCTTCCTTGTTTGACACTTTGCACAAACCAAACGTCAGAAAGACTACTAAGAACAAAGGACGAAGAGTTCAGAAAAACAAGATGATCTAGACCGCGTAGCTCCTCGGCCATCAATTTTACAAAAAAGTTGTCAACTACAAAATTGAAGCTCTGATGTTGTTCAGTATACTCTGAAAATTTTAAAAAAATTATTCAATTTCAAAGTTCTTTGTAGTGACTCAAACTTTAAGACACCTAAAAATTGGCATTTTTGAGTAAAAGACAGTTTGCCTCGCCCATAAAAGTATCTTAAATCAGCAGGATTCAACTAAATTGTCTTGAGTAGATGAAACAAAACTAGAACTTCATTTTTGTAGTTGACAACTTCTTTGTGCAAACGCGCTCTAGCGAGATATAAGCCTTGGAAGTGAGCCCTAGGCTCGCGGCGCGCCGACTTCCACGTGGCATATCTCGCTGGAGCGCGTTTGCCTAAAAAAGTTGTCAACTACAAAAATGAAGCACATGACTTGTTTAGTCTATGCTGAAAATATCAGAAAAATATCAAAAAACTTAAAAAGTTAGAGCTAGTTTTGTAGGTGTAACCAAAAAAAAACTGACAGAACCATACTTGTCAAATGTATAAGTCGGCTCAAAATTGGAATTTCTTTGCGATATAAAAAGTAAAATGTAGAGCTTAAAAAGAGCTACGAAACGATATAAAATTCAACTAGATTTGATAGCCGATTTGCCGATTTTTAATCTTCAGACCTACTAAGTAGACAGTACCTAAATCGGTATTCTAGGCACAATTACTTCCACTATTCCCTTACACTTTCGTTTGTCTAGGTGGTAATGGTGTCTTCTAATCCCCTCTCCTCGTGTCTTAATGATTTTCTTCTTATTCTTCTTTGACTATTCCATCTCAAATTACTTATTTCTCTCTCTCTCTCTCTCTCTCTCTCTCTCTCTCTCTCTCTCTCTCTCTCTCTCTCTCTCTCTCTCTCTCTCTCTTCTGCAGAAGACACACTTATGCATTTCTACCACCTTCTTCAACTGTGTTGCTCATAGTTTCTATCTCAAGTTTTATTTTTCAAAAATTCTGAAAAATCTGAAAATCAATTTTCCAGATGACCGACGGAACGTCGTCGTCGTCATCGTCGTCCGCAAAATTCATGTCTTCTGTCAACGGGCTCGCCCCGTCTACAATTTTTGATCGAAGTGAGTTTTTTTTTATTAGCAAATACGCTCTATTGCACGAAACCAATTTCGTTGTTTTTCAAATTTTAAGTTCCCAAATTTTGGCAAATGCGCTCTGTTGCCAATTTTTCTGTTTTTTTGATTTTTTTTGAGGTCACACCAACCGATTATAGTGTACATAATCTTTTTGTTTGTCTGGAAAAAAAGTTTTTCTAGAAAGAAGTTTTTTTTTTCAAAATTCAACTTTTTTAAAAACTTTTTTATTTGTCTGAAAATGTCAAAAGGTGGGTTACCGTGAACATTTTGAGCCTATATATCTCACTTCTTTTAAAAGATATCGAAAAGTTGTCAACTGATAAAATGTTTATCATAATATCATCAACATTTTATCAATAGGTCACTTTTTGATATCTCTCACAGGAAATGATATAAATGAGCTAAAACTTGACGAGATTCGGGTGGCGTTCTATTAGAGTGTTTACGGTATTTTAAGCCAATTTTCAGTCAAAAGATCCCCAAAAATTTGTTACATTTTTAGTCCACTCTGATATGGACGTTTCGGAGGAAATGGAGGAGATTCGTGAGGTTTTATATGAGATGATCAAGAAGAATTTTTCAATGGGCGTCGCGGCGACACATTTGGCTGAAAAATATCATGAGGAGTGAGTTTATACCTACAAAAATGCTTCAAATTTGATGGATTTGTCTGCAAAATTTCAGATTATACTGAACTAAACTAGAGCTTCATTTTTGTAGTTGACAACTTTTTTGTAGCCATTTCAGTTTTAGAGTTATGCGCCTTTAAAGTGAGCGCGCGCGGAGACGCGAAGAAGGCGGTGTGTCTGCGTCTCCTCTAGAGGCGCGCAAACTTTAAAGGCGCATAACTCAAAAACTGAAATAGCTAGTTAAAATGTTGAACTGTAAAAATGTGCCAAATTTTATTAGCTACAGTTTTGTAGTGGACAACGTTTTTGTAGCTAGCTTGGTTTTTGAATTATGCGCCTTTGAAGTGCACGAGAGGCGGAGGCTAACTTTAAAGGCGCATAACTCAAATTTAGGTCAAGTCGTAAAGTTCAACATTTTTTGAAATTCATATTTTTTCATCTTCCAAAATTTTCAGATTTGTCTCCAAAGGATTGGGTCGAGAACTTCCTGAAGACTGGATTCAGCAAGTCACCGCAGCCGAGGAGTTTGAGGCGCAGGTAATTATCTAGATAATTAACTAATAAATTAATTAAAACTACCAAAATGTGTAAAATTTTATGTTCTACAGTTTTGTAGTTGACAATTTTTAGATAGCTTGTTTAGTTCTTGAGTTATGCGTCTTCAAAGTCTAGAAACCGCGGAGTGCAGGAAGCCACCCAAATTTAAAGGCGCATAACTCAAAAACGAAAAACGCTTTCAAAAAGCTGTCAACTAAAAAAATGTGCAAAATTTTATAAGCTACATTTTCTCATAAAAATAAACTTAACTAGATTTTTTGGTTTTTGAGGTATGCGCCTTTAAAGTTGAGTGCCCCACCTGCAGGTTTGGTGGCGGCACCTCTAGTGGCGCGCACACTTTAAAGGCGCATAACTCGAAATTCATATATGCTATCAAAAAGTTATAAACTAAAAAAATTTAGCTAATAAAATTTTACACATTTTGATTTTTCAAAGTTTTTGTCTATTTTTTTGAGATATGCCCCTTTAAAGTTGGCTGCCCGACTGCAAGTTTGGTTGCGGTACCCCTAGTGGTGCTCACATTTTAAAGGCGCATAACTCAAAAACCAGAGAAGCTTTAAAAAAGTTTTTAACTAATAAAATGTAGCTCTTGTAATTTTACACAAATTTTTAGTTGACAACTTTTTGATATCTCTTCTAGTTTCCTCTGTATTTCCAGACTCGTGGCCCTATCACAATCCTCTTCGTCCGCCTCTCCAACACCTCCTCCTTCAAACGGCCACCAATCAATTCTGTGAATGTTCGAGGTAATTACTAGAGTAATTAGGCTTAATTACGTGTGAAATTCACTAATCTCTCAAAACCAAAAAAAAAACAATTTAATTCATATTTTTAGGTTCAATTAATCCCGAATTTTCCACTTTTTTGGCTTTCCAATTTTTCTTTTATTCCTTCTGTTTTTTCAACGCTTCCACTTCGATTTCCGGTTTTTCGAGCTTCTCGAAAATGCCAAAACCGCCCATCTGAAAATTTTTTTTTCGAAATTTTGCTAGCCTGGAATTTCCTAGGCCACTCACCAAATACGTTTTATGGGTCAACCAACTACCCATAATAATTGCGAAACACGAGAAAATAACTGAGAATCCGATGCTTAGAATTTCCAGATTTTCTGGGTGGGATCTGGAATGGCGGGAATTTGAAATTTTGAAAAAAAAAAGTTGACATACAATTCGCGTCTCAGTCGTTCGGAGATCGAAGGCATTTTCGGCGCTTGGCGGGAAATTTGAATTTTTAAATCTTCGGAAAATATAAGTTTTAATTAGGCGTGGATCATGTCATGTGATCCTTTTTAAAAATTGGATTTCTAGGCCACTAAAAGAGGTTTCTTAACTTTGACCCAATTTATCTCGGTTACTGTAAAAGATATGAAAAAATTGTCAACTAGTGAAATGTTACATATTTTATAAGCTGTATTTTTGTGGTTTACAACTTTTTTGTAGCTTTTTTGGTTTTCGAGGTATGCGCCTTTAAAGTCTAGGGTGGGAAGAGGACAGGCCAGCAACCTCGCATTTAGGACCACCTAATCAAAGGCGCATAACTCAAAATCCAAAAAGGCTTTCAAAAAACTGTTAATTAGAAAAATGTACTTCATTAAAGCTCATACATTTTACCAAATAACATTTATTAGCTAACTGTCTTAGTTTTTGAGCTATGCGCCTTTAAAGTTTATCGGAGACTGACAGCTAGTGAAGGTGATACATCAGGAGGTGCGCACACTTTAAAGGCGCATAACCTGAAAACCAAGAAGCTAGAGCGGCAGCCCCTTTAACTTTGACCCAATTTATCTCGCTTTCTATAAAAGATATCAAAAATCTATCAACTACAAAAATGTTTATCATAATATCAGTAAAACTTTATCAGTTAGCCACTTTTTGATATCTTTTACAGTAACCTAGATAAATAAGGACAAACAAAAGAGGTCCACCTAATGCATATTCCCATGCATTTCTCACTTCATTAACATAACCCATAACCCATAACTGTTTGTCCAGCTTTTTCTTCTTAATACGATTTCTAATATCCTAGGCACCCTCCTGCTGTTTTCCCTTCTGTATACTAATCTTCAACACCTCTTCCCTTCAGGCCGATATCCCATCCCATCCATTCTAAATCCGCATTAACCAAACTGCAAGACTTTGCTTCGCTAACCTCTCCGAATGGATTTTGATCAGGATTCTTAAAAAATGTGTCTTGGTGAGTTTATTTAACCGTTGTGCTTTTGTGCTTTTGAGTTTGCATGCTTTTGTGTTGGGTTTACCTAATTTCAATTTTAGTCTTTTTCACTTGCCTACAAAAGTGCTTCAAACTTAATGAATCTGTTTGAAACTTTCAGAATGGATTTAACAAAATTAGAGTTTCAATTTTGTAGTTGGCATCCAAGCGTCATATCTCGCTAGAGCGCGTTTGCATCAAAAAGTTGTTAACTACAAAAATGAAGCTTATGTTTTGCTTAGTATAACCTAAGAATTTCAGATAGATCCGGTAAGTTTGAAACACTTTTGTAGGTGGTCAAACTTCTCTTACTACAAAAAATACACGATTTCAGTGATAAACACGGATCGAGAGCCAACAGCGGATGAGTTGAAACGAATCAAGCAGAGAAAAGAGAACGAGCCACTGGAGCATGCAAAAACGGTAAGATTTGGGTTTCTAGGCCAGCAAACCCAAACGGAGGTTCTAGCGCCGTCTGAAGGGATTCTAGACCCCAATTTTTAAAATTTTTAGATCCTATACTACCAAACTCAGTTTTCAAATTCAAATTTCTAGCTTTCCCGCCAATCCGCTGCTCTAAAAGAGGGATCTACCGTATCCATCGTCCACGCAGACTCCCCCCGTAGATTCTTCATCCGAGCACTGGCCGACGACGATCAATACGAGAAAATCGGGACCACACTGGCTGAAATTTATGCCCAGGAAACGCCCCCAAGTCCTTTGGATTCCCGCGTCGCCATTTATGAAATCGTCTCGGAAGGCGCCTACGCGCTTCAGGTAAAATTGCTCTGGCTTGAATTTCTAAAAGTCACATTTCAAGCGTCTACAAAAGTGATTCAAATTTTAAGGATTTTTTTGAAATTTTCAGTATGGACTAACCAAAAATACAGCTTCATTTTTGTAGTTGACAACTTTTTGGTAAAAATGCGCTCTAGTGAGATATGACGCACGCAAGCCGGTGGGACTGGCTGCACGCTCGGCGCCACAAAGCTCACGCGCCGCAGCATATCTCGCTAGAGCGCGTATGCACAGTGATGCAAATTTCCAGGTATATTGAACAAATCTAGAACTTTAATTTTGTAGTCGACAACATTTTTGTTGCTTTTTTGGTTTTCGAGGTATGCTCCTTTAAAGTCCAAGAGAGGCGGAGGGTAGCTGGAGGGTGGGCGCCGCGCCATGCGTCCTATCTTCTCAGCCATCGATTTTACAAAAAATTCGTCAACTACAAAACTGAAGCTCTAGATTTGCTTAGTGTACTCTGAAATTTTCAGACAAATTTCTCATGTTTAAAACCCTCTTGTACCCCCTATAACTTTTTCAGGACTCAAATGGAACATGGTTTCGAGTCATAGCCAAGCAGCCACCCCAATCTGGTCAAGTTTTGTGTCATTTTGTGGATGTTGGCGTTTGTGAGAAATTTCCAGTGGCGGCGATTCGTCTGTTACCACCTGCGGTACATCCTGTCATGTCTAGTGAGTCTGTTTGGTGGCCTAGAAACCCTTTTCAAATTTTTGAAATTTGGAATTTTTGAATTATTGAATTTTTGAATTTTTGAATTTTTGAATTTTTGAATTTTCAAATTTTCAAATTTTTGAAATTTGGAATTTTTGAATTTTTGAAATTTGGAGTTTTTGAATTTTTGAATTTTTGGATTTTCTGAATTTTTGAATTTTTGAATTTTTGAATTTTCGAAATTTTCGAAATTTTGAAGTTTTGAATTTTTGAATTTTTGAAATTTGGAATTTTTGAATTTTCGAATTTTCGAATTTTCGAAATTTAGAATTTTTGAATTTTCAAATTTTTGGATTTTCTGAATTTTTGAATTTTTGAATTTTTCGATTTTTTGAATTTTAAAAATTCTGGCCTAGAAAAACCATAACATGGCCTAGAGACTCAATTTTCGTTTTTGGTGACCTAGAAAGCCTTCAGATGGCCTAGAAGTCCAAAAATCGAGAATCATGGCCTAGAAAACCATAAACTGGCCTAGAAATCCAAATACCAACGTTTATGGCCTAGAAAACCGTTCAGGTGGCCTAGAAATCCAAAAACACAAAAAATACTTTATTCAAAAAAATCCACAAAAAGAGTTCGAAAAATGTTCTAGTCGAATTTCCTAGAATACTCTCCAAAACTGATCATTCCATCTCCATTTCGATCGAGATCCCTGAAAAAAAGAATGTCTTTTGGTGGCCTAGAAAAACCCCCTGGATGGCCTAGAATCCTCACCCAATAACTTGGTCCACTTGAACTTCCAAATCCTCGACATTCAATTTTTCTGTCTCTCCAGAATGCTCTGTTATCAACTTCATCAGTTCGATTCCATCCAAAAAATGGTCCAAATTCTGATCTCCCACCTTGAAATAGTAGAATTTCCGGTCCGACGACGATGTGTGCTTCTCAATGTCGATCTTGTTACCGTAGTGCTCTTTTAAGTGTCTGCAAATTTTTGGATTTCGGTGGCCTAGAAAACTCCTAGGCTGCCTAGAATCCCAATTTCCGAATTTGGTGGCCTAGAAATCCAAAAAATGGCCAAGAATCCCAAAATTCGACTGGTGGCCTAGAGAATTCCTAGATGGCCTAGAAACCCAAAAATCGAGTTTTGTAGCCTAGAAACCCAAATTTTCCGTTTGGTAGCCGAGAAAAGTCTTAGATGGCCTAGAATTTCAAATTTTAGTCTGGTGGCCTAGAAAACCCATAGATGGCCTATAAACCCAAAATTCAACTAGTGGCCTAGAATCCTAAATTGTCGATTTGGTGGCCTAGGATCCCAATTTTTCGTCTAGTGGCCTGGAATTCCAAATTTGAGTCTGTTGGCCTAGAAATCCCCTCCCGTGGCCTAGAAAACTCACTCAATGCTCAAATCGTCATCTGACGCAAAACCACGAACATGGGACTCTCTGAAACAGCTGACACTCTGAAAATAAAAATCAATAAATCAATAAAAATTCGATAATTCACCAAAATCATCAAAGAGAACAGAAAAAAGTGTGTGGACATTTTAAATTGGTGAGAAAATTCAAATTTCCAAAGACTGGCGGGAAATTTGAATTTCCCACACTTTTTAAATACCAATTTTTTGGACTCCACGTGGATTCCAATTTATTTTTGAAATTTAACGTTCAAATCGCTTCAAATGTATGTTTTCAGTCGGCGCAATGGCTCGAGAAGTGTGTCTGGAAGTCTCCGAGGAGGATTCTGAAAAATTCAACAATAAATTTGTGGACCTAACATTCGAGACAAAGGAAGACGGTGTTCAAAGCCCTGTAAATCTTACGGTAGGTTGAAATTTGGAAATGTATTAATACAGTAAGATTTGTCACGTTGAGAGCTTTGAAATGAGTATAAACACGGCTAGGCTCCGCCCACTTTGGGTCTCACCAAGCTTTCGGGGTTTCTCGCGGCGGGACCCAAAGTGGGCGGAGCCTAGGCATGTGGGTACTCATTTTGAAGCTCTTAATGCGACAAATTCAGAATGCAAAACAAAATTAAAGGTGGACCAAACCTAAATAAGCTGTGATCAAAAAAACGAAAAAGTATATTTTCGGCAAAACTATGTTTGGTCGAGATCTCTTACACAAAGCTGAATTTTTGAATATACTTGTCACAATAAGATTTGTTACGTTGAGAGCTTCAAAATGAGTATAAACACGGCTAGGCTCCGCCCACTTTGACCGTTTTCTTGGTGGGACCCCAAATCGCGGCGAGACCCATAGTGGGCGAAGCCTAGGCATGTGGGTACTCATTTTGAAGCTTTTTGCGCACCAGATTCTAATTTTTAAACAAAATTAGAAAATGATTGGACATCAAAAAGTTATGAGTAAAAAACCAATTCTTCAGCTCTCTAAATTCGACACCTCCACCGAACTACCAATTGTGGACCTATTCAATTCTGAAAATCAATCAATAACTGAAATTCTGAAAAAGCCATCTGGAATCGTCCGATTGACCACGCACACAAAAAGTGCTCCGGTATCAGCAGCAGCCGCAGCCAGTTTGACATGTCTTTTTGATAAACCAGCTACAGTAAGACATCTCCTGCAGATCTAATCTAACTACAGTAACCTGCAGATCCAACCAATGACCGTATCCCAAATGCCAATGTCCGCTTTCCCTGCAAATGCGATTTTCGCGGCGGGACCCACAGATATTTCTCTCCGGCAATTATCCCTGGACCCTATGCCAGATTATATGTATGCAAAATTAAAAGAAGAATGCGCTCTACCGGACTCTCAGTTGGAAAATGCACCGGAATTCGGATCGTAAGTGGTTTTTTGATCATAACTTTTTAAATTTTCATCTAGTTCCAATTTTTCCTAAAAATTTGAATTTGCGACGTCGAGAGCTTTCAAATGAGTCTCCACAAGCATAGGCTCCGCCCCCTTTGGGTCCCACCGCGAAAAACCCCATAAATCGTTGTGGGACCCAACGCAGGCGGAGCCTAGTCATGTGGGTACTCATTTTAAAGCTCTCAACGTGGCAAATTTTACTGTTTGAAAAAATTCTGGAATTTCTCTACCTATAGCAAGATTTACATAGATTCGAGCAGAAAAAGGTTGTTTTTATCACAACTTTTTCAGTTTTCATCCAAATTCAATTTTTCTTAAATGTTTAAATTTTTTACGTTGAGAGCTTTTAAATGAGTACCCACATGCCTAGGCTCCGCCCATTTTCACTCTTTTTCGTGACAGGACCTAAAATCGTGGTGGGACATAACGTGGGCTGAGCCTAGGCATGTGGGTACTCATTTTGTAGCTCTCGACGTGACAAATCTTACTGTAAAATCGAATTCTATCAATTTGACATAGATTTTCAAATTTGATCCACCGTAAGATTTCCAGAATTCGTCAAATTTCGATTATCGAATTTTTTCAGTTTCTACGCCGCTTTCATCGATGAGCGATGGGAACGTGTCCAATGCATTCGTGCGTCGAAAATAGGTGAGCAGCCAAAACAGGAAAAATCGATAATTGATTTTTTGCTTCCAGACAAACAAGCCTACTGTGTGTATCTCCTCGACGTCGGCGCCTTCCAATACGTTCGAAAAGAGGCGATGCGTCGTCTGAATTCGACATCGCCGTTTAAGAAAATGCTCATGTTCAAGTGTAAAATCGGCGGAGTTAAGCCGGTAACAGGCGGCGAGGTGTGGAGTCGTGAATCGCATGAAGCCGTCCGAGAATTCTTCGAAGCCGCGTGCGGCGAACCGGTTGTGGTAAGTTTTTGAATCTATAAGTCGATAATTTGAGCGAAAACCCCACTTTTGTTCGATGAAGCGCGCTTGCGCGGCGCCCACTTGGTTTTTATCGACTTTCGCCTTTTTTTTCGAAAAATTCTTTGGAATTCCCAGAAAACCTGACAACCTGACTACAGCTATATTCGCCACGTTGCAAGCTTCAAAATGAGTATAAAGACGGCTAGGCCCCGCCCATTTTGAGTCCCGCCGCGATTTTCGACGTTTTTCGCGGCGAGACCCAAAGTAGGCGGCTTGTGGGTATTCATTTTAAAGCTCACGACTAGCGGGAGTCAAATTTTCAATGAAAAATTAAATTTAGACGAAAAATGTGAAAGTTATGAGCAACACAAAAATTTCAGCTTTTCAAATTCGGAATTTCTCAAGTTTCCGGGGTTTTCCTGATTTTTTTTTGTGTAAGAACCTCAAGAAATCAATAAAAATTATACTTTTTTAATAAAAAATTGTCAAAATCCCTTCGAAAATGGCAAATTCCGGAAAACTTCGAAAATTAAATTATTGATTTTTCAACCCATATTCTTCAATTTTCGACACGCTGAAACGAAACATCGATTCGCTTTGTGACCTGAAAAATTTTTGCAAAAAGTCGATGAAAATCGAAAATTCCGAAAAATTATCGACTTATCGACTTTTGACACATAAAAATCATTTCTGCCGAAAATTGACTGGAAAAACAACGATTTTTCGATTTTTCAACTTAGATTCAACAATTACCAAGCATTTTCGATGCAAAAATATACGAAATTTCGGAAAAAAAAAAGAAATTTTCACCGATTTATCGATTCTTTTCAGGTCGAGCCATTGAAAATCGAAAATTTGCGATTTTCAGACATACGTTCATTAATTGCATAGCACTTTTGACATACAAAAACAGAAAATTTCAGAAAATTTTTTTTATTGATTTATCGATTTTTTGCAGGTCGAGCCATCGCCACCAGGCTGGTCCCAATGGAAACAGCTTAATGCTCCGGGAGTGCCAACTTGTGAGGCTCGCCTCTCTTGTTGTGGTCGAGACATCGGTGATTGGCTGATTGCTTGTGGTCTGGCTCTTCCGATAAATGCTCCGATCCCCAGTCCCAACTCTCAGTCGCTCCTGGCCTTCGTCCCACCGCCAATCAATATAGTTAGCGGGCGAATTTGAAATTTTGGCTTGGCGGGAATTCAAATTTTTTGCTTTATACCTAGAGTTCTCTTTTAGTTTCTCTTGTCTTTCTTTTTTGCTCTTTTTTCTTTAAAAATGCTCATTTTCGTCCTTTTTTTATTCAGTTCTCTGTGATATATTTCCAATGATTCGATTTTTTGCTTACTATTAATGGTGCTTTACGCAAATTCGCTCTATTGAGAATGTATTCTCTATGGAGCGCATTTGCGGTTTCTTTTCCTTTGAAAAATATATTTATTCTGGCCTCTTTTTGCTCTATTTTTATGCTAATCTTTTCAAACGTGTCGAGCTAAATTCCACGTATCCATATCTCAGTTTTTCCGGATTTTTCTTGATTTTCTCCCACTTTTCACCTAAAAATCGATTTTAATCGTTTTTTGAATGATTTTAAGCCAAATTTGCTAATTTTTTCCATTTTTTCAGCTGAAAAACTCAAAATTCCACCTAAAACTTTCACTCTGCGCCTTTAAGTTTGTGGGGTACTGTAGACTATAATTTTCTGAAAATATTGATTTTGGACCGATTTTTTTGATTTTTTCATGATTTTTTTCGAATTTCACACATATTTTCAGCTTAGAAATATTGTTGTTCGCCTGAAAAGAGTCAAATTCTCGAATTTTCGCCGAAACTCAAAAACAGCGATTTTAAGTGTTTTATTGTCTGTAAATTACGTTTTAAGTGTTTCACATAATTTTTAGCTGCACATTCTCTAGTTTTCCAGCTAAAAATCCTAATTTTTAACCCAAAAACCATTGAAAATCACTTTTTTCTGCTTTCGTGCCGAAGTCCTTGAACAGAATACGCTCTGCGCCTTTAAAGTACTGTAGCCAAATATTTTTGAGCTAAAAATTTGATTTTTCGCAATAAAAACCCTCAAAATTGAACATTTTTATTAATTTTTTTGCTTTTCAACTGGAATTTTCAATTTTTTCAAGTTTTCCAGCTTGAAAACATTAATTTTCAACCCGAAAACCATTTAAAATCACTTTTTCTGCTATCGGCCGGAACCCTTCCCTATAATACGCTATGCGCCTTTAAAGTACGGTAGCTAATAATTTTTTGACCAATTTTTTTGCAAAATTTCCAGATTTTTTTCTATTTTTTCCAGATCGTCTCTCCGCTTGAATGCTGAGCGTTGGCGGCGGTCGTTCGGCGGTATGCCGTGCCGTAATAGCCACTTCCATCGTCTGGCTTCTCATCGACGTCGTCATCCTCTTCTACTATCTGGATCCATCGTCATCACAGCAACAAATTCAAGATGATAGGCACGATTTTTGACCTAAAATTATCGATTTTTAGCTGGAAATTTGATTTTTTGAAAAAAAAAAATTTTCCAAAAGAAATTTTTTTTTCAAAATTACATTTTTCAGCAATTCTAAGTCGAAAAATCTCAATTCTAAGTCGAAAAATCATTCTCAACGATTTTTGACCTAGAAAATTTCAAATTTCCCCCAACTTCTAAAATGTTTTTTCAAAAAAATTCATTTTTTTGCAGAATTCTAACCCGAGGCCAACGACGGATAGGTCCTGAACCACTAGCGGCTGGACCACCCCAAGATTCAAAAAATTCACAAAAATCGTCAGAGCGCGACGCCCAACAAGTGTTTCCAGTCGATAAGGAGACTGCTGAGCAGTTGAGGAAATTGATGAATAGTAAGGAGCTAAAAATGGTTAAAATTGGCTGAAAATCGGTCAAAAATTGTCGAAAAACCCCATTTTTCATCCGAAAAAGTGGGATTTTCTAGCAAAAAAAGGCCAAAACCCTTTTTGGTCCCGAAATTTCATTTTGGTCGCGAAAATTTCTTGTTTTTAGTCCCGAAAATTTGATTTTTTTAGTCCCGAAAATTACATTTTCCACCCGTAAAATCGCAATTTTCAGCCTAAAAACCCCCAAAACCCCATCTTTTCCAGCCCAAGCATTCGGACCCGGCTATCATGGACAAGGCGGCACTGGGGTTACAGTACCCGAGGACCAAAAATCGATAAAAGAGAAACGATTCCTGGAGAATCAGTTCAACGTCGTCGCTTCGGAAATGATATCAGTGAATCGAACACTTCCGGATTATCGATCGGAAGCATGCCGGAATGCAGCAGGGAACGAGAAGACTACTGTAGGACTGCCCACGACTTCTATCATCATAGTATTCCATAACGAGGCATGGACCACACTGTTAAGAACACTTCACTCTGTAATCAATCGATCACCACGTCATCTGCTGGAAGAGATTATTATGATTGATGATAAATCGGATAGGGACTATTTGGTGAAGCCGCTGGACGCCTATATTAAGAAATTCCCGGTAAGGGGGCGGCGTGAGAAAGGGGGGGGGGGAAGTTTTAGGCTTAAAAATGATCAAAATACCCTTCGCTAAAACCCTTGAAAATTGATTGAAAATTTTATTAAAAAAGTCGAAAATCAACAAAATTCAGGTATTTCGATCGAAAATAGTTGAAAAATAGCCCCAAAAGTGGCTAGAAGTAGCTGAAAAGCAATAGAAAACTGTCGAAAAATCGCACGCAAAATCGACTGAAAATTGGCCAAAAAATGAACGAAAATGGCTGAAATTGGCTTAAAAATGGCCCAAAATCGACCTGAAATCCTCTAAAAACCTGAATTTCAGATTCCGGTTCACCTGGTCCATCTGGAAGAACGCTCCGGTCTGATCCGTGCTCGCCTGACTGGCTCCGGAATGGCCAAAGGGAAGATCCTTCTATTCCTGGACGCTCACGTGGAAGTGACCGACGGATGGCTGGAACCCCTCGTCCATCGTGTAGCTGAAGATCGGAAACGCGTCGTCGCCCCAATCATCGACGTCATCTCAGATGACACCTTCGAATACGTCACGGCTTCTGAAACGACGTGGGGTGGATTCAATTGGCATCTGAATTTCCGATGGTATGCGGTGCCGAAGAGGGAGTTGAATCGACGAGGATCGGATAGGTCGATGCCCATTCAGTGAGTTTTTTGGCTCAAAATTGGCTGAAAACAGGCGAAAAATGATCAGAAATGAATCAGAAAAATCGGTGGAAATTGCTTAAAATAGCTCTAAAATAGCTACAAATTTGCTTTAAATCGTCTTAAAATGACTCAAATTAGCCAAAAAATGATGAGTTCAACTAGGGTAAAATAGCTCTAAAATGGCTCAGAAATGGCCGAAATTCGTCTAAAATCGCCCAGATTTGGCTTCAAATTATTGCCCTAAATTGACCAAAAATCGGTTAAAGTTGGCTGTAAAATGACCGAAAAATGAGAAAAATCGGCCAAAAATGAGTGCAAATAGAGTAAAAAATGCTGAAAATGACCCCAAAAATTGGTTCAAATCGCGCAAAATTGACCGAAATTCACCTCAAATGGATTTCAATTGGCCGAAATATCAAATATTAGAAAATTATACTCGAATTGCTCCAAATTAGCCTGGAAATTGGCTCATAAATGGTTTTCAATTTGGCTCAAAATTGACCCTAATTTTCTTAAAATAGGTTCAAATTGGCTGAAAATGGCTGGGAAATGATTTAAAACAACAGAAACATCGGTTCAAATCGGCCAAAAATGTCCCAAATTGGCGTAAACGGGTCGACAGTCACTGAAAATGACCGAAATTTGTCAGAGAAATTGATTAAAACTGGCTAAAAGTGACTTTAACCTAAAATGGGTTCAAATTGGATTAAAAATGACCCAAAATCAGAAAAACTAAATTGGCTTAAAATTACCAAATTTGGTCTAGAAATCCTAAATTTTTTTTGGTTTCTAGAGGTTTCTAGGTCATCCAGAGGCCGATTTTTGCTGGAAAATGGCCTAAATTGGGCATAAATAGCTTTAAAATGGCTTAAAATGGCAATTTCCAGAACGCCAACGATCGCTGGAGGACTCTTTGCCATTGACAAACAATTCTTCTACGACATCGGAAGCTATGACGAAGGAATGCAAGTTTGGGGTGGAGAGAATTTGGAGATCTCGTTCAGAGTGAGTTTTTGCTGTTTTTTGGACCCAAAATCGGCTGAAAACGATCCAAAATGGCCGATTTTTGGCTTAAAATCGGTTTGAAATGACTCAAAAAGTCTGAAAATCATGGAATTTTGGCTTAAAATCGGTTCAAAATCGCCCAAAAATAGTTAAAAAAGGCTGGAAATGACTGAAAATTGACTTTTTGGACTCATAATTGGTCCTAAATTACCCAAAATATGACTAAAAATAGCTGAAAAGTTAGGAAAAATGGTCCAAAAGTATCGATTTTTCACCTAAAAACGAGCTGAAATGGTTCAAAAATGACTGAAAATAGCTGAAATTAGTGTTGAATCTACCGAAAATATGCCCTAAATTTTGAAAAATTGACCGAAAACGCCTGGAAATAGCCCCAAAAACACACTTTTTGGGCTCAAAATCGGTTCTAAATGACCCAGAAGTGTCTGAAAATGGTCCGAAATTATCGATTTTTGGCTTAAAATTCGTCTAAAATCACCCAAAAATGGCTGAAAATTTGCCCGAAATTGCCTAAAATAGTGGAAAATCGGTCTAAAATTAATAAAAAGTAACTAAAAATGGCCAAAAAACGTTCTGAAATGACCCAAAAATGACTGAAAATGGTCCAAAAGTATCGATTTTTGGCTTAAAATTGGTCTAAAATGACCCAAAATGACCCAACTTCAGCCAGAAAACCCCCAAAAATGCTCCAAATCACACTGAATTTTTGCAGGTTTGGATGTGTGGAGGCTCTCTGGAGATCCATCCGTGCTCTCGAGTCGGTCACGTCTTCAGAAAACAGACACCGTATACGTTCCCGGGTGGAACTGCAAAAGTGATACATCACAACGCCGCCAGAACGGCAGAAGTTTGGATGGACGAATACAAGGCATTCTTCTATAAAATGGTCCCCGCGGCGAAGAATGTGGAAGCTGGAGACGTTACGGACAGGAAGAAGTTGAGAGAGACACTTCAGGTGAGGTTTTCGGAATTTTTCGATTTTTTTTTTGAAAATTTCAACTTTTCATGCCGTTAGAATTGTTACCCATGCGATTCCCGTCACTTTGATACCCATATTGCTCTATATTAGCAAATTTTCGAAAATTCTGAATTCAGATGACGTCAAAATTCCAATATTCTCGAACATAGGCAATATGGGTATCAAAATGACTGGAAAATTACAGAGAATAGTTCGGATGAAGTGAAATTTGCTGAAAATGATTCTGAAGTTACAAAATTTCGAAAAATTCAAAAACCTGGAATTTTTTTTTGAATTTTTTGAAATTTTTCTTCTATTTTCCCTTTCCTTCAACTTTTCCTGTCGTTAGAATTGTTCCCCGTGAAGTTTCCGTCATTTTGATACCCATATTGCCCATGTTTCCAAATTTTGTGAATTCTGAATCCAGAAGACGTCAAAATTCGAATCTTCTCGAATCGAGTCAAGATTGGTATCAAAATGACCGGAAAAACACAGAAAATTGATAGAACGCAACGAAATTTGCTGAAAATGGTTCTGGAGATTGAAAATTTCAAAAATCTGAAAAGAATTTTTTTTAAAGTTAAAGTTTTTCAGTGCAAATCGTTCAAATGGTACCTGGAGAACATTTATCCTGAAGCACCTCTCCCTGCTGATTTCCGATCACTCGGATCGATTGTCAATCGATTCACCGAGAAATGTATCGATACGAATGGCAAGAAGGACGGGCAGGCGCCTGGAATGCAGGCGTGTCATGGTGCTGGCGGGAATCAGGTAAGGTTTTGGGGATTTTTGATAAGAAATTTGAGATTTTCGTGAAATTTTGACCTAGAACGAGTTTTGAAATATTGAAAAATCAGGTTTTTGACGGTTTGTTCAGTAGAGCGCGTTTGCTTTTTTACCTCAAAAAAAAGTCGTTTTTGATCTAAAAAGCTTTAAAAAGCGGGTTTTGTTCAATAGAGGCCGTTTTCAGGCTCAAAATCACGTTTTAACGGCTTGTTCGGTAGAGCGCATTTGCGATTTTTTGGAAAATTTTTGAGAAATTCCATTTTTGATCTACCAAAGTTTAAAAAGCGCGTTTTTCGATTGATCTGGACCGAAAAAGTGTCAAAAAAGCGCATTTTAAAGGGTTTGTTCGGTAGAGCGCACTTGCATTTTTGATCTAATAACCATTTCCCAACACACTAACACAGACAATTCAATTCGCTGATGGACACAAAAAATCGATACCCAATCAGATGGATCGATACGAGAGGGCACCTTTCTTGATTAATTATCAGGTTCCCGAAGAGTGATTTTTAGAGATTTTGGGCGGATTTTTAAATGGTTTTTTGAGTTTTTTGGGCCTATTTTACCCCCCTTTCTTGAATTTCCCAAAAAATTGAGTTTTGCTGTGAAAATTTTGAATTTTCGAATTTTTGGAATTTTTCAATTTTTGAAGTTTTGAATTTTTGGATTTTTTGAATTTCAGAATTTTTGCATTTTAGGATTGTTGGAATTTCAGAATTTCAGAATTTCAGAATTTTTTAATTTTAGAATTTTCGAATTTTTGGAATTTCAGAATTTTAGGATTTTAAAATGTTTGGAATTTTTGGAATTTTTGAATTTTCGGAATTTTTGAATTTTTGGAAATTTAAAAATTTTTCAAATTTTTCGAATTTGGCGCTTTTTTGGGCCTAATTCACCCATCTAGACTCCCATGGAATCGTCAAAAAAGTCTGTGAATTCTTGAGTTTTTCCCCGAATTTCAAAAATTTTGATTTTGGCGCCTAATTCAAACATTTGAGCCGCCTTCTCATCACTGAAAGTAGTTTCAGGCGTGGTCCCTCACTGGAAAAGGCGAAATTCGATCGGACGATTTGTGTCTCTCCTCTGGACATGTCTATCAAATTGGATCGGAGCTCAAGTTGGAACGATGCTCCGTGAGCAAGCTCAACCCTAAACACATTTTTGCGTTTGATGCGCAGGTAAGGGGGGGATTACTGTAGTGGAAAAATTAACAAAAAACGGTTAAAAATGAGCTGAAAATGAGTTTTTTCAACAAAATTTTTTAAAAGCATTTTCATTTTTCAAATTTTTTTTTCAATTTTTTTCTCTGAAGCTATTTTCAACTTTTCATATCGTTAGAATTGTTACTCATTGAATTCCCGTCATTTTGATACCCATATTGCCTATATTCCGTAATTTTGCGGATTCTGAATTCAGAAGACGTCAAAAATCGAATCTCCCCGAATCGGGTCAATATAGGTATCAAAATGACAGGAAAAATGCATTAAAATGATTTAACGAAACGGAATTCGCTTAAAATGATTTTGAGGTCTGAAAATTTCAAAAAATGTAAAAAATAGAAAATTTGATTTTCCGATTTTTTTTTTCGAACGTTTCAATTTTTCAACTTTTCATGTCGTTAGAATTGTTTTTCAGGAAATTTCCGTCATTTTGATATCCATATTGTTCTATATTCCAAAATTTTATGAATTCTGAATTCAGAAGACGTCAAAATTCGAATCTTCTGGGTTATATGCAATATGGGTATCAAAATGACTGGAAAAGCATTAAAAATCGTTTTGACGAAACGAATATTGTAAAAAAAAATTTTTTTGGAATTATTGATTTTTACAAAAATTCCAATTTTTCCTGTCGTTAGAAATGTTGATCAGGCGATTTCCGTCATTTTTACACCCATATTGCCTATATGTCCAAATTTTGGGAATTCTGAATTCAGAAGACGTCGAAAATCGAATATTCCCGAATTTGGTCGATATTGGTATCAAAATGAATCGAATCTTCTGGGTTATATGCAATATGGGTATCAAAATGACCGGAAAATCACGAAAAATTGTTTTAACGACGTGAAATTTGCTTAAGATGCTTTTGAAGACAAAAATTTTCAAAAAAACTGAAAATTTTCAAATTATCGATTTTTGCAGGCCGGCACCCTTTTGCACAGAAAAACTGGAAAATGTGTGACAGGAGCGGATCAAAGAGTCACTCTTGACGAGTGTGGTGTCGGAAGAAAAGATCAAATGTGGCAGCTGGAAGGATTTCAGATTTAATTGATTTATCGATTTTTCCAAAAAAAAATTTTTCTAATTTTTTTTTCATAATTTTCTCCTTATAATAAGTCACAAGCCACCAGTTTTGTTCAGTATTTTCCCTCTTTTTCTCTCGTTCTCTCCCCCTCGGTGCCCTCTTCCAACCAGTGCCTTTGGCAAACGCGCTCCATTGATAAAATCCCAAATTTTGGGGTTTTATCAATAGAGCGTACTCTGCACAAAATGTAATTTAATTTATGTGATGTTCTTTTTTTTGTTGATTTCTATCCCCCAGCATAATTTAATTTATTATTCGATGATCCTAAATTTTTTCGCATTTTAAAATATCCACATTTTTTTAAGCATTTCACTTATTTTTTGTCCCCTCCCATTCCAGAAAAAAACCCCCCAAAAAATACTAGTTTACGAGATTTGGTTGTGAAAAAATATGTCCCTTTTTTTGAAAATTTACGAGTGATTTTTTAATGAAAAATAAAATTATTGATTTTCAGACCTCAAAATCATTTTAAGCGAATTCCGTTTCGTTAAAACAATTTCCCATAGTTTTCCGGTCATTTTGATACCAATATCGACCATATTCGGGAAGATTCGATTTTTGACGTCTTCTGAATTCAGAATTCACAAAACTTGGAAATATAGGCAATATAGGTATCAAAATGACGGGAATTTGATGGGTAACAATTTTAACGATATGAAAAGTTGAGAATATGAAAAATTTAAAAGAAAATTTCGAAATTATTTTTTTTTCTAATTTTCAATTTTCGGAATTTTCGACTCCAGAGACATTTTGAGCAGATTTCACTTCGTTTAAACAATTTCCTGCAGTTTTCCGCTCATTTTGGTATCCATATTGCCTATAACCCAGAAGATTCGAGTTTTGACGTCTTCTGAATTCAGAATTCATAAAATTTTGGAATATAGAACAATATGGATATCAAAATGACGGAAATTTCCTGAATAACAATTCAACGACATGAAAAGTTGAAAATTTGAAACGTTCGAAAAAAAAACGGAAAATCTAATTTTTGATTTTTTACATTTTTGAAATTTTCAGACCTCAAAATCACTTTAAGCGAATTCCGTTTCGTTAAATCAATTTTTTGCATTTTTCCTGTCATTTTGATACCCATATTGACCCGATTCGGGGAGAATCGATTTTTGACGTCTTCTGAATTCAGGATTTTGGAAATATAAGGCAATATGGGTATCAAAATCACGGAAATTTCACGGGGAACAATTCTAACGACAGGAAAAGCTGAAGGAAAAGGAAAATAACAGAAAAATTCAAAAAATTCAAAAAAAAAATTCCAGGTTTTTGAATTTTTCGAAATTTTGTAATATGGGTATCAAAATGACGGAAATCGCATGAGTAACCGTTTTGACGATATGAAATTGTCTTTTCTGAAAAGTTGAATTTCGGCATTTCTCAGAATTTTCAAGTTTTTTTTAAGGTGGGGGGAAATGAAAAAAATAATGTTCTCGAAATTCCGTTCAAAGATGCCCCTCGAGGAGTTGAACTTGTGAGGGCGATGATTGAGGGTGCGGCGCCGCTACCGACTGAGCCACGCGGGCAAAGAGAAAGCGCACGCCCGATTGCATACATAAAGGCGAGGACGACAGCTGTACGCAGAGTGACATTAAGCGTTGCACACCGTCACGGTAGAATGCATACTCTAGCTACAAAAAAACTACGAAAAATCTCCTGTCCCCCCACCTTTAAAACCAGTTTTCATTGCATTCCGATAATTCTTCAAAAAAATGTAACATATACAGTGAAATTCATTTATTCTATCAAAAAGAAGCAACCACGGGACAGTCAATTTTTTGTCTTTTCGTCCTTCATCAATGACGACTTCAAGATCGAATCTGGGAGCTTTATCCTGCTGAAAAAAGATGAAATTACTTTTTGATAGATATTTTTAAAGAATATTACTGTCAGATGTTCGATCCACGCATTCTTTTCGAATCGTGTCTGTACAGGACGAGCATCTCTCTTCATCGTCGATTATCGAATCGAAGAATTGAAGTCTCCGTGCGTCAGTCGTACTTCTGGAAATCCTCATCACTTGGAAGCTAGGTTTCCATTGGAAGGACAATTCGAAACATTGGCCATATTCCAAAGTAGACGCATCAGAATTACCATTTTGGGATGTTGATGATTCGAAATTCCGCCAGAAGGAGATTGGTGTGACTGAAAGAAGTTTAAATTTGAAAATTGTGCGACACACTAATATTTTATCTCAATTATCTCATTTTCTATGAGAGATGTTAAAAATCTGTTAATTAGCAAAATGTAGATCATAAAATTTTACGCATTTTACTATGTATTAAATTTCAGCTAGCTTCTGTAATTTTTGAGATATGCGTCTTTAAATTTGGTGAACCTCGCATTTCGAGCTTGATTATCTCAGTTCCCATAAAAGATATCAAACAGTTGTCAACTGGTAATATGTAGATCATAAGATTTTACGCACTTTGTTGGTTAAAAACTTTTTCCTTGCTATTTTGGTTTTTGAGATATGCGCCTTTAAAGATTGCACACCCTTTGCCGTCTTCTGGGGCTTTTCAGGAGCCGGCAGCAATGGGTGCACGATGTTTGAAGACACATAACTCAAAAACTAGGCACGCTAGATAAAATTTGTCAATTACAAATATATAGTTCATGAAATTTTACGCATTTTACTTGTGGACAAATTTTAGCTAGCTTTTGTAGTTTTCGAGATATGCGTCTTTAAAGTTGGACGCGTTAGAGATACGCGCCTTGTCCATCTTGTCGAACATTAAAGGCGCATAACTCGGCTCGAAATTGGAACTTCCAATTGATTTAAAAATTAAAATGTGGAGCTTGAAAAGAGATACAAAATGATACTAAATTTGGTTATATTTAAACTTTTTAAAACTCACAATTTTCTAATGGAAATCCATAGATTTCTAAAATTAAGAATAATAGAAGATGTAGATTTACAGAAAAAATAGGTAGGAACTTTCCAGAATCCATTCATTCAAAGGATTCTTCTGGAAAGTTCCCAAATTTAGAGACGTCTATTCAGTCAAGTCGTCGATTTGGAGAATATGAAAGGGGAATAAAGGGTAGCTGGGGGCGCGTTGTCTGACCAGACGCAGACTTTTGTTGTCTGCGTCTCTCTATCTCTAGCTATCAAGATTATTAGATGTCATATGCGTTATCTAATATTGCTTTTTAGAGGGCAATACCAGCTACTAGCAGATGAGTGTGACATTGCTCATCTGACGTCATTTGAGTAGGGTACTGTAATTAGCGATGGAGCGAGAGTCGCCAACATTAAAGACGCATATCTCAAAAAAAAACATTGCCAATTGATAAAATGTAGCCCTTCAAATTTTCTACAATTTTACACTTTACAAGTTTACGCTAGCTTTTATAGTTGTTAATTGCCCGCGGTATGTCCGGGGTATCAGGTTCCTGTGATAAAATAGAAGAAAATCAACAAGAAATGTAACAAAATCGGTTTATTTGAACAAGTTAGAAAGAAACAACCAATACAAGCTTAGAATTCAAGCAAACTCACTTGAAATCCTTAAAAGGGTCCCTAGAACAACCACGAGCCAAATCCAAGCTCGCAATCACTCAAAACTAAATTTAAACTGTGCGCGCGCCGAGCGGGATAGCGGAGTGTCGTTGCGTGGGTAGAGGGAACCTTTAGAAGGGGTTGCTAAGGGTAGATGCACCAGGCAACTTGTTGAGATATGCGTCTTTAAAAATTGGCCGCGATCCTCGCTCCTTAGAGTAGTATACCTCTACTTTAAGTTGACCTAATTCTGTTCCTATGAAAGATATTAAACATTAGTCAATTACAAAAATAAAGAGCGTAAATTTACAATATTTCAATATTAAAATTATGTTTATAGCATTTTTAGAACTTGAGCTATGAATGTTTGAAAAATGTCTTTTTTTTGAAAATTAAAAAAAAACATTGTGTGTGTGTGTGTGTGTGTCCGTCCGTCCGTCCGTCTGTCTCGGACATTTACTTGAATAACTCAAGAGGACAAGGGACCTCTATCAAAGTGGAGGGAGGGCGCCTCCAACTTATATCTCAAAAACTTTGAAAGCTAGCCGAAATTTTTTTGCCGATGTCGCCAATTTCGGCAATCGGCCATTTGTTGCCGCACAGGCCTGTTACGAACCACACACGACTATATAGAGGTCCCTTGTCCTCTTGAGTTATTCAAGTAAATGTCCGAGACAGACGGACGGACGGACGGACACACACACACACACACACAATGTTTTTTTTTAATTTTCAAAAAAAAGACATTTTTCAAACATTCATAGCTCAAGTTCTAAAAATGCTATAAACATAATTTTAATATTGAAATATTGTAAATTTACGCTCTTTATTTTTGTAATTGACTAATGTTTAATATCTTTCATAGGAACAGAATTAGGG